TTGCAGCTACCACATCGCTGCTGCGGTTTTGGGAGGTGGCCAGAAGCCAGAATGCTGACCCGGGGTGGCCTGAAGCTGCTCTGTGCAGGCATTTGGGCCACAGACCCTGGGGAGCTGCGGTAGGTGGAGGTAGGAAGAGCCCACCCTTCCCCAGAAGCTGCCTGGGCCAAGCACCAGAACCTAAGTGGCTAGAGGAGAGGCAGCGCCCATGCTGGTCAATTTGAGTAACTGCATCCCCTTACTTGGGAAGAGAATCGGCTTCATCTTGGCCCTGGAGCTCTTGCGCGCTCACAGCCCAGATGAGACTCTTGTTAGGCAGCAGATAGGTAAGGAATTGTGTAGAACTGAGAAAAGCATAGACATCAGTATTCTGGGCTAGGCAGGGCTTGCAGGGGCCAGCAGCCATTCCAACCCCTAGGCTTGGGGGGAGAGGATGCTCTGAAGAGGGTGTTTGTGCCCCAAGCTGTGTTGACTGCACCTGTGACATTCAGACTTGTGCCACCATGAGCAGCCTTAAATTTTGGGGCAGAGGCTCCATTGGGGGTCCTGTTAAATGGTACCTTTTCCCATCAAAACACAAATCATGGCCATGGCTGAGCCCTTCCTATATCCCCACTTGGCCGCCTGGCTCTGAGACCCCCAGGCTCATCCTCAGATCTCTCCAGCCTTCAAGGGCAGACCCAGAGCATCCTTAGAAGAAGCTGTGAGGACTGACGGTCGTATGAGTAGAGTGCCCAGCTCGGGGGAGGCATGGCACAAAGCCATATGTAGATGTTTCAGCGGGACCTCGATGTGCTGAAGACCACGCCCAGCCTCTTCAGGCCATGCAGGATCCGGGAAGGGAAGGATAGACACTCTGTGGTCAGGGCTGGGCTCTTCAATGCCTGCAAAAAAAGCATGCGGTGCTCTCATGCACTGCTGCTGAGGATGCAGAATGAGAAACAGCTGGGGATTTTCTCATGTAACAGTACAGCTACTGTGGGACCCAGAAAATGCATCTTTAGTAGATACCCTGGGGAAGTGAGAACGACCTCCATCCAAGGACTTGTGTGCAAATATACAGGCAGGGTTAGTCCAAATAGGCAGTAGTACAAATAGCAAAATATCCATCCATGAGTGATGAACTGGGCAAACCAGACATGGTGATCTCTACAATGGACTGCTATGCAGCCATAAAAAGAAATGAAGTCCTGAGACACCTACAGTGTTGACAAACCTTGAAAACATTATGCTAAGAAAATAAGTTAGATGCAGAAGGGCCAATGCTGCATGATTCTACTTACCTGAAACATCCGAAACAAGTCCATCTATAGAGATAGGATGTAGATTGACAGGTACCGAGACCTGGGAGTGAGGAATGACTGCAAATGCAGGTGAGGTTCATGTTGGAGGAGATGAAAATGTTGGGGAATTATACAGCGGGGATGGTTATGCGCTTTGTGAAGACATGAAAGCCTCCTGAATTCTGTGGTATGTGAATTAAACCACAGTGAAACTGTTACTTAAACAAAAAGATCCTTAGCGTGCCAGCTGGAGTGTGCTCCCACTGTGGACGGACAAATGAGATGGCCGTGCGGGAGGGAGCTCTTGTGAGCTTCGCCTGTAAATCAGATTAACCAGCTTGCCTCCCTCTGCTGCGCCCTTCGGAAGGAGCTGCAGCAGCTGGAGGGTCCGCTCGCTGGGCCCCAGCTTGGGAGCTGGATGCTCACTCCTCATCTCAGACAGCCTCACCTGGTAGGCGGCACACAGCAAGTAGCCCAGGCCCCTCAGCCTGCCCTGCCTCAGTCTCCAGACTTATAAGGATGAGCCAGGCATGGTGGTGCACACCTGTAATCCCCAGCACTCAGAGAGGCCGAGGCAGGAGAATTGCAAGTTCAAGCTCAGCCTGGGCAACAGACTCTGTCTCAAAATAAAAAATTTAAAAAAGGGCGGGAGGTGGGGTGTCTCAGTGTGAAGGCTCTGGATTTAATAATCCCTGGTGCTGAAAAGAAGATTTTTTTCAGGAATCATCTTTTCCAATCTAAAAAATGAAACTGACTGTTTCATTTTTGCCCATCGTGACAGGAGACACACCATTTTAAGGAGGGCATATCTTTAAAGCTTTAGGCCCAAGGCTCTGGATTTCCAAGACACCCATCTCTCCTTGGGGCCCCCAAACACTGGTTGCCAAAGGGCTAGACTCTTAAGTAAAAGTCAGGAGCTCCCCTGTAAGTTGGGGCCCCTGGCAGAAGGTTGGGACCGACCTCATGGAGCTGTAGTCCAGGCCAGGACTGCCTGCCTGAGCTCCTGGGATCCTTGTCTGGGATCTTGGCAGGAAGTGCAGGCTGGCAGAAACCCCCATTGGCTCTCTCTGCCAAGATGCCCCACAGAAGCAGTGGGTACGGCAGGGACAGTGGGATGTGACATCTCAGATGAGTGCCTGACAGCTCCCACCGAGGGAGAATAACCCAGCCTTTGCTGGTGCAGAAGTCAGGCCAAGAGAACGCACAGCTTCGTCCATATCTGACACTGCATTTCTGAAAAGGGCTGCAGGTGTCCACTGTTTCCCGACCTTGCTGCCAGTCCCAAGAGCCACCATGGTTTCCTATCAGTCTCGTGAGTCTCTCTCTTTCCACTGTTGTCCCCTGTCCTACCTCACATCAGCAATCAGAAAGCTCCTGGCAGGACATAAACTCTGTCCTGCCTCTGTTCACAGGCCTCAGTGGCTCTGGTCAACCTCGAAGTAAAAGCTGTGCTCCTCACAGTGGCTGTGGGGTCTGGGCCACGCACAAAGCCCTCACCACACACCAGCTGTAGTCCACCTGCTCCACCGTACCCCCTACCACAGACCACCCCACTGACCCCCGCCCTCCTCTCTGAAGTCGGCCCCTGGTCCTCGTGTTCCTCACCAGCCCCATCTGGCCCTGGTCCTCGCACTCTGTATCCGGAAGGCTCTTCCCAGGTACCACAGGGCTCCCACGCACTCTCACTGCTTGAATCTCCCCTCACCGGCGGGCTGTCTGGACTACCCACGTAAACACGGCCATCTCACATCTGTGACCCTTGACCCTGTTTGCTTTCCCGGTGAAATTTACCACCATTGATGTTATTTCTCATATCACATTCATACGTTGAAACTGTCAGTCAGCACAGTAGAAATAAAGATCAACCACAAGACAAAAGCAACAGTGGTCTTAAGCTTGCCATCTCAGAGCAGTTAGCTACCATCAACTGGGCTTAGAGGGCAGTCTCCAGCTGGGAACTCTTAAGAGTACCTGACAGAGGCTGCCAGGCGGGGCTCCCTGGAGGCGGGGCTCCCTGGAGGCGGGGCTCCCTGGAGGCGGGGCTCCCTGGAGGCGGGGCTCCCTGGAGGCGGGGCTCCCTGGAGGCGGGGCTCCCTGGAGGCGGGGCTCCCTGGAGGCGGGGCTCCCTGGAGGCGGGGCTCCCTGGAGGCGGGGCTCCCTGGAGGCGGGGCTCCCCTGGGGGCGGGGCTCCCCTGAGGGCGGGGCATCCTCCACGATTGGTGCATCTGGTTTTCTCTACTGGTCGCACACTGGAGACAGAAAGCAGGGAAGTTGTCAGTGACTAATTGGGCTTGCTGAGCTTCCTAGATTGTTATTAGAGATGGCGATCTGGGCTCGGTAGGTCCATCTTGTTGTAAGCCCTTCTCCGGCTGGTTCTTGTAGACCACCCAGGGGCCCCTGGGCAGGGCGCTGCGTCTTAAGGTCTCAGCTCTGTTTGTCCTTATGGCCCAGCCATCGTCTGTTGTTCCTTCCCAGAATGTAAAGGTGAAGAGCACTGAACTGTTACTGCTGGATTCTCAGAGCCTGGAAGAGTGCTGGGTACTTAGTAGGCCCCAAGTGACTATTTCTTATTGGTTAAGCTAATATTTATGGTGCACTGGATCGAAAAGTTGCGACTACTATATCTGGGTAGGAACCCAACTATAAGACTGCTCGATTCAATCCAGTTCTATGAACAAACGTGAGTGCTTCCTACGTGCCCAGGAGGCCGCTCCACACTGCTCTAGACCAGAATTAGCTGGAAATGGGCCGAAGCCCAGTGCATAACCTTGGCTCAGAACAACTCTTCCACTTCAGTTCTGTCTGCACCACCGAAACCCATTCAGCCTCCAGGCCTTCATTATACTTTTAGAGGCTGCCTCAGCCTGTATTTCCATCATCCAGCACTCTCATAGTTTTTGAAAAGTGCCTGGCCGGTTTTCCTTTGCCTTTCTCCTCCTCCTGCTCCTGCTGCTGTTGCTGCTGCTGCTGCTGCTGCTGCTCCTCCTCCTCCTCCTCCTCCTCCTCCTCCTCCTCCTCCTCTTCCTTTTTTTTGGCAGAATCTTGCTAAATTTCCCCAGACCAGCCTTGAACTCATGATCTTCCTTAGGCCTCAGCCTCTTAGGAAGCCAGGTATTATAGATGTGTGCCCTGTGCCTGCTGCCTCTTGGTTGTCTCTTTAATCTTCTCAGTTCACAGAACAGGAGCTGCATCTTAACCCAGTCCAAGGGACAACTCACAGAAGGGTCTCAGTGATCTGAGGCTGCCCCAGCACACAGCTGGCTTCTTCCCTGAGACTAAATGTCTGCCAGACCTCAGACCCTACCCCTTCCCATGGAAGTCTCCTGGCTCAGGGCTGTCGTCTAGAGGTGAGGTCACAGGTTGGTGGGCTTGCCCTCAGAGGCCATCACCCACCTGGCCATCTCAGCTGCCTCCCCATAAAGGCTCCCTGGTACCTTTTAAAGTATTTACAGTAAATGGTTGTGAGACTCCATGCTCAGGTTAATTAATCTTTCAGACAGAAACTTGAGGAACCAAGAAAGCGACGGGCGTGGAAACACTCCTCTGGGGAGCTCTCCATCAATCCACCCGGCCACATGGCAGGTGCTACGCACTGGGCGTTGGTGCCTTGGTCCCCAGCCCTGGCACCCGGCAGTCACCACCATCGTCTGCTGAATGAATGGGAGGCTGGGCCACGCAGGCTGCCCTGGAAAGGAGACACACCACGAGGCAGCGGTGGTCGCTCTCAGTGTTTACTCACGCTGGTGCTTAATTTCCTCAGCCATCACAAATCTCACTAAATAAAAAGGCAAACAGGGAAGCCACAGAGGCGGGAGAGGGCTCAGAGGAGCAGAAGCAGCACCCGTGTTCTCCACCCGTGAACTCTTCGTGCTTCCGTTCCACGGCGGGCAGGCTCTGCTCCCTCCTGAGCGCAGGAGACTCCAGCCTCCGCCCTGAACATGCATTTCCATCCCTCCAGACCCCTGCATGCACCTGCCCAGATCTGATAGTGAATCAGGGTGGGAAAGGTGGACACAGGCTATCACCCACCCGCCTGTGCTTCCAGCCTTGTGGGAAACAGGAGAAACCCCAGGCCACACTGGCTGCTGAATCATCTCATTCAGAGAACTCTTTTTTTCCTTTTCAGTCCTGGTAAATTTAGAAACCAAGTGGTCTCTGTCTGGACTTCAGATTCCTGGATTCCTCCTCATCACACAGCCAGCTGTGCAAAGGGACAGGGCTCCACGAAGATCTCACCTCGAGCCTCCAGCTGCCACCACCCTTGTCCCCAGGTCCCAGGTTCCTTCTAGCTCCCCTGGGGCCAGGAAGGCAAGCAGCTCTGCCCACTGATACCAGAGAGGACCTGAGCTCTGCGTGCGAGTCGGCCTTCGGGAAGCCCTTCAGGAGTCTACTCCAACCCAGCAAGCACAGTTCCTTCTCGGTCTGGGGCTCCATCTAATCCTCCTTAGTGGTGTTAAATAGCGACTCAGACCCTCCTGCATTCTCAGCCTCCTGCTCCTCACACCAAAGCAGGCACCCAAGGAAGGTATGTTAGTCGGGGGACCCCAGCCACTGCACTCCACAAACAGATGGCTCAGCCTTCTTTTTGCTAAATTTCAGCCCCATTAGAGGGAATTCCCCAGCCAGCACCCCTGTTTATGAACAGGGGTTAATGAAGGGACTAGGGTATAGTGCTGTGATAGAGCACGTGCCTGTCGTGGGCTAGGCCCTGGGTTCGGTCCCCAACACTAAAAAAGAAAACAAAAAAAGCTTCTTCCAGGCATTGGTGGAGCATGCCTGTAATCCCAATGCTCAGGAGGCTGAGGCAGGAGGATTGCCAAGAGTCTGAGGCCAGTCTGGGCTCCATAGTAAGAGCTTGTCTTAAATAAAACAAAACAAACAAAAAATCTGCCCAACTGTTGTGCTGGCGCAGGCAGACAATGGAGAAGCAAGTGCCCTGTCCCAGTCCCTGTCGGCAGGAACATCCAGTCTGCTCCTCCCCAGGCACCATGGCCCTGGTGGTCCTCACTCACCCCCTGCTGGGAAGGGGTGCTGCTCCAGGGATTCTTACCCGATACTTGCTCTCTCTCTCTCTGTCTCTGTCTCTCTGTGTCTGTCCTATCTCTCCCTCTTTTCTGTCTCTCTCTGTGTGTCTGTCTCTGTCTCTCTGTCTCTCTCTGCTGAGACACACAGTGCGAACTGTCATTTCCTGTTCTGTTAGGACAACATTGACTCTCGCTTTCAGTGCTTAGGTGAACAGGGGGAAATCCGAGGTGCACGGTCAGGTAGTACTTTCCAGTGTGTTTCCACCCAGAATGCTGGGGGGGCCCTTCAGGGGCAGAGTGGGAAGAAGAAGGGGAGCTAGTTGTAAGGATAGTGTTATTTCAGCTTTGAGAATAATAGATCTCACTTTAGGAGTCTTATTTAACCAGGATGGCTAAAATTAAAGGACTGAGAATCTTAAGTGTTGACAAAGACACAGAGCACATGGAACTCTCAGTCTTTGCTGTTGGAGTGAAACCTGGATGCACAACCTTGGCATCCTTGGAGTTGCACAGCAATTGCAAGCAGCAATCTTCTTCCTAGGTATATGCTTGGAAGCAATGAATATTTATGTTCACCAAAATACAAGTACAAAAAGGTTTGTAGTGCCAAAACTCATAATTGTACAAAGCTTGAAATAGCACCCAAGTGAGTGGATAAATTGCAATATAATCTTCCAGGAGCATCATACACAGCAATGAAGAAAAGTGGGCCACTGCTATATGGGGCCACAGGGACACAGCTCAGAGACACAGAAGTGAACACTGTGTGGTTCCATTCATTTGAAGCTCAAAAATGACAAAAGCAATCTATGCTAATAGAGATCAGAATGCTGCTCACCTCAGGGAGACGCCTCTATAGGATCTGGTTAAGTACCTTAGCTCTGTGCATTTTAGTCAGTGTAAGTTATACCTCAACAAGAAGAGAATAAAGGCGGGTGTCTCTTGTGCCTTCTGATTCCCAGACGAGCATATCACTAGTCATTCATTCCTCTTTTCATGCTCTGCTTCTGAGAAAGACCTGAAGTGGCTCACAGAGGTATTTATAAGCGAAGCTGGGGGGAGCTCAGGTAAAGGCAGGAGTCCCAGGTGAAACCAGGTGTGCGGGTCAGAAAGCCCTGTGTTAAACCTCCTGGTGAAATACACGAAGGGGAAGCAAAGCATTCCAGTGTCCAAAAGCCAGCAGGCCGGGTAGATCAGAAGCGCGGGTGGTCCTGAGCCTCAAGACACGGTTCTCCTGTGTCATTGCAGAAGACAGCAGCTGTGTGATCCAAGCCCTTTCTGGTTTTTAAAAATGTTCTGAAACATCCCATTTGCCCTGATGGCTGACAGCATCTGTGAGGTGTAGGGGGAGGCAGGGACTCCTGCGGTTGGAGCTGGGCCTGGCACTACACACCGTTCACATCGCTGCATGTGGCTTGGGGAGTGCCCTGCTCGTGGGGGCTGGGTTTCTGTGCTTTGGGGTGCACGGCTTGCCATCCTTGCTTCTGACACCCAGGCCCACACCCTGGGTATGCTCTTGGCCCCTTGGCCCATCTCCTTCCTGGCTGGTGCTGCCAGGCAGCCCCGGTCCTTCACCAGCTGCGACTCTGCGTGGGGCAGCTATGGGTCCCTGGGCGCTGGGCTTTCTGCTTGCTGGCATCTGGGCTGTTGACTTTTTCCACCTTCTGGCTCCAGTTTTTGTGTTGAATTCATATGTTTCCCCAGTCACTAGGAGGGGAGGAAGACAAGAATCATATAAACCCAGGAATTCACGTCATTGTATCTCATCCCACCTCTTCCTGGCTCTGTTCTGATCCTCAAGTAAGGACACATGCCAGAGGGTGCAGATTTCAGCTAGAAAGCAGGCTTAGAGTGGCACATGCTTGTCACCAGCTTGCCCTCCCCCAGGCTGTGCAGCTGGGTGGCACATGCCAGGCCTCTGCGATGGGAAGGTTTGGGACAGTCTCAAAGCTACCTCCCTGGCCAGACGAGGGTGCATGTCACCCCGGAGCTCCCCGTGGGTGTCGGGTAAACTACGATCAACTTCGAATGGGTTTACCCAAGACGTTCTGGTTTATTTTGTTTGTTTGTAAAAGCCCCTGAATCCCTGCTAGAAAAAGGAATTGACTGGACGCAGAGGTTTGGCTATTTACGTTAGGGGAGCAGAGGTCTGTAGACAGACATACAAATATGGTCCTACTGGAAATGATGTAAGCATCATTGTGTGTATGGCGCCAACACACACTAATTGACGTGTTTGCTCACATTGGGCCAGTTGGCTCATTTCTCCCCCCTTTTTTCCTCTTTCTTTATTTCTTTTGTTTGTTTTGTTTTTGTTTTTGCTTTTTGTTTAATTTTCTCAAACAAACAAAAACCACAAAGTCCTCCTGCTTTTGCTGCGGACCGTGGCGCTCCGGGCAGGCCCGGCTCCTGGCTCCCACCTCTCAAGCAGCCGCTCACCAGCCCTCCTGCTAATGTGGGTGCATTGTGGTAACAAGTGCCTAATAACAGAGGGAATTTCATTTCAGCCGCAGTAGCTTGTCACTGGAGAGGAGCCATCCTCCTTTCGAGGAGGACTCAAGCGTTCGCCTGGGCACGTGGCCGGGAGCCAGCGCACTTGCCTCCTGAATTTGGTTTCCTTCCCTTTATTCATGTCTATAATTGAGTCTTTGTAAGCAGAGGGATGTGTGTAAAGGAGCTAAATTTGGAGCTGATCTCGTGGGGGTGATGAGCACTCTGGAGGCCAGCTTTACTTAGCTGCGCCTTGCCAACCAAGAACGAATTCTTGGCACCCATCTAGGGGGGAAAAAAAGGAAGCCACACTTGCCATTTCTTCCACTACCAAGAGGATGGTACTAGAGCGTTCAGGAAGGATGGAGTAAGAGAGGAAGTTCCAAGGAGCAGGAAAAAATTTATGTGGGATCTTGAATTCAGGAATTCCCTAAATGGGTTGGTGAATTGGGCAGGGAGGCAAGACGCATGCCCCGGAGTGCAAGCCTTTAACCGAGGCCTCGCCTAGGACCCGCACCAACTGCCATCTGTGCCCAGAGCCATCCCAGGCTGCCTCTGAGGGTCAGTACTGTACCCTGGGCAATGCAGCTAAAGGGACAGACTGAGCTCAGAACAGGAAATCAAACCAGGGAGCGACAGGCACTCTTACGGGCAGCCTTGCCGCTGGGTTACCTGGGTCCACAGCTTCTCCATCAAAGACGGTATTCAGCTGGATCACTTCCTAAGGAGAAGAAAGAGACAGCCTCAGGCTGGCCCTGCGCTGCTGCCTCAGGCCAGGCCTCTCATCCTCGCAGCCCAGCTCCCACTCAGAGCTTCTCCACGTTTATTCATTCAATCAACGGACACTGTGCTGCATGCTGGGGGCAACCCGATATTTATGGAACCCAACACTTGTGCAAATGCATTGCAGATGTGCTCAGAGGAGGAAAGGACTTCTGTCAGGAGCTGTCCCTGGCATGCTGTTCCAGGGACCAATGCATGCTCAGCCCTGAAGGGTAAATGCCCTGCCAGGCCTGCCTTGGGCACACCTTGCCACCCCCCAGGCCTGGCCACACTCACCACTACGGCTGCTTTCTTCACATGCTGCACGTCTGCAGGGGAGAGCACAGGAGGCAGTTAACACCTTCATAATGGGGCCCTCATTCCTACATCTCACTGTCAGGCGGCCTGGAACCACCTGCGGAACACAGGTGCCTGTCCCACCAGTCAGCGTGGCACAGTCCCCTTGGGTCATACAAGCCACCCAAGGGGACAGTCATGCATGTACCACCTGTGGCTCAAGCCAGCAGAAACATGGTAAGCTTCACGGTTGCTGAACTGACCTTAAAATTCTACCCCCACGATGGAACCCCCTGAACAAGCTTTGAACTCAGTCTAACAGACGTGGCAAAGAATTTTTCTGTCTGCAGACATGTTTGTTGACAGTTTTCCATCTTGTTGGAAAAAATATACACAAACACACACATATACACATGTACACACAATACACAAATCATTTAAATTTTGTTTTACTTTTTTCTAGTTTATGATTACTACTAGGCTTGGGAAACTAGCATTTGATTTGTTTTAGAAATCAGAAGGAAAAGTGGAGTTGATGTATTTCTTTGTAAAACAGTCATTTTAAACTTTTTTTAAAAGCATCCATTCCTTATACCCTTTTTTTCCAAAGTACCTGGGACTGGAGAGAGTTTGAAAATGTCATTTGTTAACATCATCTCCTCAACATGGTCACCAGTGACTACAATACACTCCAACCTTGCTTAGGCCATGTCTCACCCAGGTCGGGGACGTGCTTGCTATGGATGAAGAGATGCCAGAAGATACTCATCTTTCTGGCATGGTGTCAGCTTCAACACCAACTTGGTGGCCGGGGCAGGATCCCCGCACCTCACCAAGCCTGGAACTCTCGGGAGAAACTGGCTTAGTTGCCAATTTCTCTGAGTGATTTCACCCTCCCAGCTCCTCTGGGGTGCCCAGCGCCTCCCTAACTAGTTAGACTTCAACGGTTCATGGCAATGATCAATCCATTACAATCCCTTGTTTCTTCTAAAGCTCTAAGTAGAGCTCGATCTTTGGAAAGAGGCCACGGGGGTCCCAGCCAGCATCAGCCATCCTTGGGAGGGACCACACCCCACCCCCACACACAGCAGCAGCGAGGAGGAGATGCTTGTGTCTTAACGCATGCAGAGTTCTTCTTGCCCACCCTGCAGAAGGGACACAAACCTAGGTGCTGCAGTCGGGCTGATGGGTGGGCATGACCCTGGGTAGAAAGCAGTGAGACGACAGGAGATCTGAGAGGGCTGAGGGCATCAGCACCTGGCCCCCATGCACTCCTCCCACAGCGATGTGGCTGAAAACCCACCAGACACAATGACACCCTCATTAGGCTGACGGCTGTTACACACAGCAGGACAGAGCAAGCGGAGCACAGCAAACAGAGAAGGAAATCTGGGCTGTACATACCGGTACCTCCTTTCTTTGCCCTGCAGGGGGAAAAAGGATTGAGTGTTAATTAGCTTGAGAGTATTACATACTGGCACACAGGCCTTGCGGGGTTTGTTGCTTGGGATTCTGGGTCTGTGTTGGTATAGGGGCAAGGATGAGGGCAGAGAGGAAGGCTGGGCTGCCACCCTGCCCTGAGCAGAGCGGCTCTGTCTCTGATGCCCTTGAAGGAAGGAGCTTCTGGAGGCTGCTGAATTCAACTACAGGGACTCTGGTGCCTGTCATGAGGGCAGCTGGCGGGGCACCAGCAGCTCGGTGAGAGGCCAGGTGGTCTTCCTGCCCTGTTTTTGCCTCCTGTAACAAGAAGTGCTACATTTGGGCTCCAAGACCCTTCCTAAGACAAACCTGGATTCTATAATTCTGTGACTCTGACTTTACTCTTTGCTATTTGACAAATGTCCACTGTCATGTGATACAAGCAATGGCTAGGAAGGCCAGGGCTGAGTCTGAATTTCGAGTGTGTTTTTCTTTTTGAAATCAACTATGCTGAAAACAGTATTTAGAGCACAACTTAAAACAACCAGGTTCAAGGTGCATATTTAACACTTGGCCATAATTACACAGGAGTTGCAGTATCTGCTGGATTCTTTCCTTCCTTCCTCCTACCCTAAAGCCATTACAGGGCCCCACCATCGTTATAAGCTTAAATGTCATTCCTGAGAATCAGTCATTTTTTTTAAAGTCAATTTGTAAGTAGAGTCCAAACAAAAATGTCTTTTTTAATTTAAGCAGATGCTCAAGGATTTCTTACCTTCAAGTCAATGTTGCCAATAGCAACAAACTTCCCCAATAAATACGGCAAAGGGCAATGTATGTCTTTATGCTAACGCCTTATAGTTTCATACTATTCTCATCCACAGATTTCAAATGATTTAATAGTTAACAGTTTATCTTTAAAATACCTTTCAGAGGCACCTGCTTCTTCTCACTCCTTTTTGCCGTTAACAAATTCTAGAACTCAGACTATGGAATACCCCAAGATATTGGGGCATAAGGCAAAACTTGAATCTAGAATCCAAAATGCACTGGGTCTTAGTAATGAAGAAGAATACAATCACATTAAAAATACTGGCTATGAAGTCTTCAGCATTCGCTCTGCCCCAGAAGTGGTGCACAGTGCTTCCTTGGCGTTTGTTCAATTGGTTAATTTACAACAAGAAAACTGAAGCTCACAGAGGCTGTCACTGGCCCAAAGCCATGTGGGTACAAGATGGCAGAGCCAGGATTTGAACCTTGCCTTACCTAACTCCAAAGTCGAGGTTCTGTACTCTAAGAGCTACTAAGAATCCAGAAACCAGCTCTGGGAGGTCTGTGACAAGCCGGTGTCCCGTCCACTCCACTCCACAGTTGTCCCTAACAGAGGCCCAGAGGAGGAGACCTGCCTGTGTCTACAGCCCCCGAGGGTAAGAGACTGGGGTCACATGAGAAAGAACAGTGACAGCTTAGTCACACAGAAGTCCACCCGAGTTAGTGGAGCCAAAAGCTTAATTTCCTCACCAGATTTTTTGGAGCTTTCTTCTATTCCACCCCTTCCTAAAACATCCTGCAAATCAGAGCACAGTCTGCCCTATCACTTGGTGCCACAGGGCTCTTCCAAAGCTTTTACACAGGGGAAGGTCACTCAAAACTTGATGGCCTGGTTTCACCAACAAGAACAGGATAGGTTGCCAGGGAACCCAAAGCAATGTTTTCTCTGTCCTTACCAGTGACCTTGAAAGAGGCTCAAGGGCAGCTGGGATGCCTCGGCTCCCATCCCCTCTTCCCTCCTTCATGCCAGGTCCCCCTGCCCAGGAGAGAGACCCTGAGGAAAGGGCCCAGCCCGCTGCTGACTCACGGAGGTTTCTCATTCTTCCTGGTCTTGCAGGGGCAGCATCTGGAGATGGCTTTGGCCAAAAGGACGATCAGACACAACAGGAAGCCCAGGAGCAATATGGAGCCCAGAGTGACAACAAAAGGCACATACCACGCTGATGGCGAGTACACATTTTCCCTGAGGATCTGGTAGGTGACCCTGGGCTGGAGTGACAGAGAGCAGGAGTGAGCAGAGGGGGCAGCATGTTTGATGTCAGCGTTGCCTTGTGTCCAGTGTTTATTCCACTCTTTGTTTCTGTGTGCTCCTAGTTCGCAGCCCACTACCTGTCTCCTTATTTTATGGAGCTCAGAAAAATTAGAGAACTAAAAAGCAGCTCTATCCCCTGTGTCTCTTCCCTTCCCCCAAAGCTAAAGCATTTCTCCACTGTGGTTTTCAAACACCACACAGCACAACACGGGGACTCACAGAGCCGTGTCTCTCCCCGAAACAACATGGCCATGAACACCTTGTAGGATTTTTGCATTTACTCAGCACAGCTGTCACTGCCAGATGAGTGGGCTGCTTATCACAACTGAACCCCAAGTTTGGCATCTGCTTCTTGGAGTAGGAGACAGATCAGAAGCAGGCTACCGAGTTTTCAGGACTGAAGATGTCACAGCTGGGCCATAATCTAAGCCCAAGAAAGGTGTAAGCCCAGTGCCTGGCTCAGGGGAGTCTACTGGCTCCCACCACATGGGAAGCCCTTAGGGGTGTGTCACGTGACTCCACTCATGGGGCTATATTGCCTTGACACACAAGACAAGTGTCACCCACTGTCAGGAAGATGCAGAGGCAGAAGCTGGCCACCTTCCTCGGTCATCTCCCTTTCATGCTCCAATACAGAGGGGCTGACTGGAGTGTACTTTAAGAGGAGGAGGAAAGGGGACAAGGGGAGGGGCCCGCACCTGGAAGAGATGCTGCTGCTCTGGGGACCACACTGGGAGAACCTCTGACCTATGCTAGGTGCTCCATGAGACCAGTGATCATTTTTGGCTTGTTCACTAAAGTAACCAGCACGAGGTAGCATTAAGTGAATACAGGGAACAGGATACCGATCACCTCTTACAAAGAAGTCAAGAGCACCTGGCAGGCAGCTACCTGCTCTCACGGGCACTGGCTTGCGTGCATAGCCATTGTGAGAAAGCAGAACAGGAAGTCAGTGGTTCTATGAGTGCAGGGTCTACCCCGGGCTTTATCCACCCCCTCAGTGGCCAATCCAATCCAGCCAAATACTCCAGCACTTTTCAGTCCACCCCCACTTCTCTGGGGTCAAAGGGCCCCAATAGTATACCCTTCAAGGGCTTATGTCTGGGGATTCCCGGTCCCCACGGACTCACCACGGGAGTTGTGGTGATGATGGTGGTTGGGAGGGGAATGACCTTAACACTCAGTGTCACTGTTCCTGTTTCAACAAGAGCCCCAGCTTTCGTCCTGCCGGACAGCAAGTTGTCATCAGTTATGTACACGAGCAGTTCGTAGTCCCAGACCTTGTCAAGGCCGCCAGCATAGTCAAAGGGGGAAGCAAGCAGCAGGCGTGTAACGTTGGAGCCAGCGCTGGGAGAGAAGGCGAAGTGACTGTTGATGTTGCCTAAATGAGATTTGATACGAGGGAAAAAAGCGTACTGAATAAAAGTCCAGAAGAAAACTGCAGTTTCTCTTTTCCTCAAATGCTCCTGAGTGTAGACCGTGTTTCTGATGGACCAGGACGGGCCAGCAATGTGCCAAGTGTCCATGCTATTCTAATGTCTTCCTTAGTACAATGAAATTCTTGCTTACAACCAGTATGGCTGCAAATGAGGGGGAGTAGTAGGGGACCACAACACACCTGTGCTAGGTAACATCAGGAAGAGAAAGTTCACACTCTTGGGGTAGCCCCTGCTCGCTTGCCACCCAGCATTTACAGCATTTGGTAACAATGTGCATGGTAAGGTTAAATAGTACAGATGAATGTTTGAATAAAAAGTTTTAAAAATGTCTACAGTAAAAAATCCATTGCCATTAATCCCATCAAAATAATCCCATTCCCTTTGAATGTACTTGTCCCACCATTCTGGCCACTTTCTGAAGCAGTTCTGGAGGTCTTTTTTTGTAAGTGTCTTTTTATGGCTGACTCAGTGTTCAGAATCAACTCAAAATGTTGATAGCAATTTCTGTCCAGTAAAAACATTCTGGTATGTTCTTACCCACCTTATTGACTGAATTGGGCACCCATGATTCTGGCTCTTCCCCAAAGTCAAAATGACCATGAAAAGTAAGCATTTAAAACCCATCCAGGACCCTGGGGAAGCCATGACAGTGCAGTGGGACACTCAGAGACTCCAGAGCCCTTCCAGAATGGCTCCAGAAAGTGGCGAGACCACGGGGTACGTGCGTTCAAAGTGAGGGGGAGGAGTTTGAGGCATGATGGCTGTATGTCTTTCACTGTAATAGATTTTTTTAAACTAAATCTTCATGGTATTCTTGATCATACCTTGAATATAACACACGCAAACCAGTGAGTGGGCAGCAGGAGAGCAGAGCAGGCCACAACCACAGCTGGGGTCACCAGAGCTTTTCATGGCAACTGGCTGGCTGGTCACACTGGGTATAGGTGTCCTTGGAGTCCTCCAAAGAAGCTGCCTCCTGGTTTTGCAAGGACTGCACCCCATCCTTCTGGACTCACCCCTGTCTTCCCTGAAAATCCTACAAGCTCTTTGGGGGCACTCGGCTCTCTGCTCAGGGAGCCTGGGGCAGGGATGCTGCAGCCAAGCGTGGCTCTTGCTCATTCCTCCAGTGTCTGCAGACTCATTACTGACTGAAAACCAGCAAATGGAGCAGGAGATGATGCAATTTTTCCTCCCTTAGCAGCAAAGTGCTCCATAAAGGCCTAAGGCTTCTCAGTATGGATTATTTCCATCTCCGGCAAGTGTGGTCTCAAGGCAGCGTCTGCTCCTGGGTTTTGCAACACTGCTGGCTCAGAGGCTTCCTACTGCTGAGTTCCTGCTCTGCCAGGCTCAGCGGGTGGCTGAGATGGATTTTACTCTTTTACATGGAATTGCTCGCTTGTTTGGGTTTAAATCTCTGGCCCCAGCACTTCATTAGATGAGCTATTTCGGTCTAATTTTCACTGGAAGTGTGTTCTTTTTTTCCTTCACACAGTGGTATGTTTTTTAAAGAGAGAAAATGAATGGAGCAGAAGAGAATTGCTGAGAACACATTTCAAAATGCATTTTGTCTGTTTAATCTATTATTATCCAGCAAGATGCCTAGGTTTCCCCACCCCCACGATATGCTTTCAGGAAAAGAGGTGGCCAAGGAGTTGGACTAAAAAACTTTCGTTTTAATTACACTTATGTCACTTATGACTCATGATAGTCTGGGCATTTGGGAAGGGGAGTCTACCATCAAAAGGGTTCATCCGTCTCAGGACCTTTGAGCAGCCATGCAAGGATCTGGGAGAGCAGGGAAGCCACAGAGCACACCAGGAAACACAGGGCCTCTGACTCTTCACGGCTCCTCCCTCTTCCCACTCCCAGCCCACGCCACACCCACGTCCACGTGTGAGCACAGACCCCGACATCCTCTTGGAGTCCAGAGTCCCCAGACAGCACCAAGCACCATACCTGGGCCAATGGTATAACGAAAAGATCTGGGGCTGGAGTCAAGGTCAGTGCACGTGAGCTTGAAATTCTGAATATTTGTGCCAACTTGCAGATCCACTGGGATGGCCAGGAAGTAAGAGTCAGGGGTGCACACTGGCTTTTCATCATTTTCCCCGAGGATGTTCACGGTGACCTAGCGCAGCAACAAGGGTCGTTGTTGGCAACAGAGCTGAAAGTGGCAGGGTGCTGGCAAGTCCTGTGAATCGGAGCTGGCAGGCGTCCCAGTCCAGGAGCCAGTCCACCAGGTGGAAAAGGCAGCAATGAAGCCACAGGCTGGCCGAGCTTGGGGCCAGTTCCCAGCTGCACACCTGACATGGGTCAGCTCATTTAGCCTCACATGACGGAGGGAACCTGACCACGCCAACTTTACAGGCAAAAAAAGGGAGGCGTCAAGAGAGTATACGATTGAATCGCCACCATCCAGGTGCGGAGTGGCCGAGCCGGCATTTCAATTCTGCTCTGCTTTCCTCCAAACATGCTGTTACCTGGTGCACTTGCATGAGTGTGCAGGTGGCACATATAACATTCTCACACCTCATGCACCTGGATGCAGGAGCTCCCCAAAGTAATGCTGAGCTCTTTTGCAGCAATGGCTTTGGGTTTACGGAGACCCTGTGTATCTCCTTGTTCACTGCCACTTGTGACCTGAAATTCAGTGTCTAACCTTGGCAAACACAGCAGTGGTTCTCAAATGCACTTTTTTTTTTTTTTTTTTTTTTTTTTTGGTCTTTTTGAGACAGGGTCTCGCTGTGCAATGCAGGCTGGCTTTGAGCTCACTTTGTAGCCTAGGCTGGTCTTGAACTTGCAACTATCCTCCTGCCTCAGCCTCCCTAGTGCTGCGATTACAGGCATGAGCCACCACGCCTGGCTCAAATGCACTTTCTTGGGCTCACTTCAGACCAAATGAATTGGCATCCCCAGAGGGTGGGGCTCTGGGCAGGTTTTCATGCGCCCCAGCTGACTCTAACATGCAGCAGAGCCAAGGAGCTCTAGGCCAGAACGAGCAAGTGTGGTTAAGCTGGGATCTCATCTGCAACCCAGGCTATTAGCGCCGCGCTGAGCCTGAGGGCTGACCCGCCCCAAGCAGGGCCAGCCTGTGCTTTCTTGCTGCCTTTTCCGCCTGGTGGATTGGCTCGTGGACTGGGATGCCTGCCAGCTCCGATTCACAGAACGGCAGCCCTGCAAGGGATTTATGTGATCATTTAGTTCATCGCCCTTTTAAAAAGCTTATGAATTTTGAGTCGTAGTCGTTCTACTTTTGAAATTTGGGGATTTCAGCTATTTCTAAGCTGAGAATAAATTGAAATGTTCGCTCTAGTTAGCTCCCAAAGTGGAGTCCATTCATTTTTCTCATATAACCCCCCAGTCTAACAAACACTGCAATTATCTCCCACTCTGCCTGGCTGGCAATGCCAAGCCTCACACATTACTGCAAATGTCCTCCTGTTAATTCAAAGTGAGTCCCTGAAGGAGCTGGACCATTCAGGCATTGGGTCATCAGGTGAAAAGAAATACAGAAGCTTAAGCTTAAGAAGTACAGAAATAGGGACACAGAGATAAACCTGCTCAGACTCCGCCGGGAAACTGGGATCAAAGTTGAGAAATGGACTCATGCTCTTGACTCTGAACTGGTCATTGTCTGTGTCACACATGGCTGCTTGCTGCTAGCTGAGTCCAGTCGCCTTTCACTTTATCATGGGGCAAGAACAAGGAGCATTGGATCTTTATGACTGTCAATGCTGCTCTCAGATAATCCCAGCCACCCCCTCCATGGACCTATTAGGTTCTAGTGTGACCCCTATGTGCTACTCAAGGGGTGGCGTTGGGCCAGCAGCACTGTCACCATGGACAGAATATCTAAGATGCAGAACCGTGGGTAGGGAATGAAGTGAGACCTGTGGGAGATCCTCAGGTACTGAGGATAGGTCCCCCCACTCTGAGACTGTGGGACCTGGCCCAGCTTCTCCCTCTATTTCTTGGATCCAGATGTGAGTACTCACTAAAACTTACACTCCTGCCATGATGTGCCACCCTCTCCTCAGGCCCCAAACAGAGCACCCCAACCATGGACTGAACCTCCCAAATCATGAGTCATCGTAAGTAGCCTGCACTGAGTATTTTGGACAGTGACACAAAGCTAACTAGTACAGCATCATCGTAAGACTCTACCCCATCTGGTGTGGTATGCATAGGGTAGGGAGGAGATAAATCATAGCACAACCACATCCATATTCCACCCTGAGTCTCTTATCATTGCTCACTGTGATGCCCAAGTAAGATTTAAGGAGCCACAGGAGGAATCTTGTCACTTTGTGGGTTCAGCATATATCCCAGTGACAAGCCATCAATCTCAGCCCTTCTCCCAGTAATCCACAAACTTGGAGCTCAACTAGAGGTGTGAATATTTATGTCTGGACACCTCTACTTGTCTCTTATCACATCCAAAAGTTACACCCTGTGAAAATTCCTCATGGCTGCAGCCACACCCTGGGGTGCCAGGGAGACCCTGAGTCAACCACTTGGGTAAGTAAGTGAGAATATACCAAACAGCCCCACTCACAGTCACTGAGCTCGTGTCCTCGCCATTGGTGGCCCGAATTCTGAGAGTATAGGTGGGAGTGGTTTCATAGTCTGCCTTAGTTACTAGCTGGAGTTCTCCCGTCTTGGGATTAATCCAAAATACACTGGGGTACTGGAGGCTGGCTCCTCCGCTGGCGATGGAGTACGTGATGCTGCTCTGGGGGAAATCCTTGTCCATTGCTTGCACCTGTCCAACTCGGGTTCTAGCTGGAAGAATAGAGTACCGGGGATCAGTGCTGGTCAGGGAGGAAGAGATGTTCTCACTGTCTCCCGGCTGCTCAAACCCTGCTGCACTGGGTATCTTCAGGTCTACTGCATTCAAATGATGCTAATGAGCAGCCACTGGGTAACTGGCCCTGTATCCAAACACCGCTGCCAGGTGTGAAGGATGGTTCTTGCCTTCATAGAGACTCCAAGGATGCCAATTATTTTGCCACCATAAACAACAGAGCAAAGAACATCCATCCACACACGCATCTTTTGGCACTGGTGCTGCCTGAAAGTCTCCAGTAATTTTCAACATTTCCTATAACAAGCGTGAATGGCTCTTGTAAACGAAACAAAACAATAAATAATTGTTAAAAGAACTTAGCCACCGATGATTACGGAGTGTAGGTTTTTAAATGCTCTTCCATTTGTTTATCTTACAAATGCTGTTGGTGGAGCCACTTGAGTGCCAGCTTGCTTGCTTCACAGAAGCTCTTACCCCTAAATTACACTACAGCCCCGGCACCGCACGTGACCCAGAGCAGGTGTCAAAAATAATTGTTGTAAGATCTGTGAAAGCATGAAAGGCCTGTTCCTGGTGAAGTGTTATATTCACTGTGTAAGGTATTGTTTGCTGGTACAGTGAGAAATTAAAAGTATTTTCTCTGCACCCTCTTTTTGTGCTTTGTTTTAAAACTTAATTGTCAGGAAATGGAGAAGAAACATCATAAATAGAGAATCAAGGGGGAGGAGATGATTTTTGAGAGAGTGTTTTGGTTTGGGTTTGATTTAGCTCTTAAATGCTGAGGAAGTATCCCTGACCTCAGGATCGAGGGTGTGGGGAAGCCTGTGACAGCGGAGAGGTCGTGTGCTCCATTATCCTGGGGAGCTCCAGCAGGCTGAGACGGGGAAGCTGAAGAGGCTCGGAGTTGGATGTCTTTCCTTACTGAGGGAGGAGACTGCGGAGACCAAAGTGCTACAAAGGGCAGGAAAAATAGGCCTCCAAGGAATGTGGGGACGGGAGAGACAAATGTATTTTATTTTTCAATGAAGGAAACAGAGAAATGAGAAGTTTTTAAATTTCACTTTGCTGAGTGAGCTGATTAAAAATCACAGTAGAGATCAAGAGAAAGATCACAGAAAGGAGGATTAGTGGCATTAGGCAAAAAGACAAGAAACAACGGGGAGTTTCAGAGAAATGCAATTTAATCAACAGTTTTTAAAATCCAAGTTTAAAAAAAGAAGTAGGATATACCATTTACAGGTACAAATTCCCTATGATGAATGGATCGTTATGCATATATAAATTATACCAACAAACTTAATCATAAAAAATAAAACCTAAGGGTCTACACCAGCAAGCACAATTTTTAAAAGAATGCGAGAGGCACCAACAGGAATCAGCTGTGACCTCTGCACTGCACCAGCAGGGCCTCTGGAAGGAGCTTTGCCTTCCCAGCAGACATCTGGCAGAGGCCATCTGGGAGCGCTCGGTCTGGACCTCATAACTTACCCGGTCTTAACTCTGACACATCAAACACGTAGGAGGGCCTCCCGAAGACAAGAGGAAACTCATTTACTGGGCTTGTCAAGATAGAAATGTGGATGTTGTCTAAAAATGGAAATGGGAACAGACTTAAATTACAATCATTGTTCATTAGTTCATTCAACTTTTTGTTTTTCAGTACTAGGAGTGGAACCTAGGGGCTAGGCAAGTGCTCTACCACTGAGCTACATCTCCAGGTCTTTAAAAATCTTTTTAGCTTTGAGACGCAGCTTCACTAAGCTTCTGACGCTGAGCTCAAATATGCAGTCCTCCTGCCTCAGCCTCTCAAATAGCTAGGATGACAGGCACGCGTATTAAAGGTTTTAAAAGCACCATCTGAGTGTAGGCTCCGGGACACAGCTTGTTCCTGACCACAGGATGCCTAAGGTGGGAGCATTAGCTGAGCCTGACAAGGATAGAGTTAAAGAAATAAATAAGAGAGGAGTGTGCAGTGTGGCTTGAGGGGATGTTCTAGGCATGCTCTAGGAGGGAGGCATAACACTGCATCATTCAATCAGGGCAACTGAAAATGGTTTGGTCCAGTTGGAAAAAAGGGAGCTTGGAAGGTGTCTAGGGAGGGAACAGCAGCCACGCGCTGGAAGTCTTTGTGTGCTGAGCCAGAGTTTGCACTTACACTTGTAAGTTTGCACTTACACAGGACACACGCAAGGCAGTGACCTGCTGGTGTTTGCATTTCCTAGAAAAATCGCTGGCAGAAACAGGAGAGATGCATTAAGAAGGAACAGGACTGAGGTAGAGAGACCCTTTCAAGGGTCTTCAGTGTTGCAATTCAGCAAAGAAAGAGGGGGACCCTTCTTAGAGCCCTGCTAGGAGATGGGAAAGCATGAATCCTAGAAATGCCTGTGCAGTTTCATCATTGATGCTCAAGGAACAGAGCTGGGAAATAAGTGAAAATGATACTTGCTTTTGTAATAAGGAGGAGCAACGTCCTGCACCTGGATTATCAGCGTGTACCGATTACCCGCAGCTAGATTGCTTGGATTCTCACAGTCTAGATCGCCAGTCAACTAGATTAAAACAGAGGAACTAGATTACACAGAATAAACAGTCCTATACAGTGACATTTTCATACTCCGCTGGCAGATCCTTAAATTGGCACAATCCTTCTGGAAACCGTTCTCCTATGATTTCAGAAGCTTTAAAAAAAATTGTAAACCTACCTTTGTGCATTCCTGGAGAATTTACTCTAAGGAATTGACCGGGAAAGAGAGTCTACGCACAAAGATGCTTAGCTCGCACTTTTGCACCACAAGCACAGGTTCAGGACTTCAGATCAGCTGAAGAAAAGCATGATACTGAACCTTCTAATCAGGGATGTTTTCATTATTTAACCTATGTATGCATGCATGTATAGAATGCACACATAGCTAAAAGATAAGGGGGAGAATACAGCAGGATTGCAACTGTGGCTATCACAGAAACGATGCTTTTCTGTGTTTGCTGCCTTTTTCTATAGTAAACAGAGGCTCAGTTCCTAAACAGAAAAACACAGAAATGACTTACATCAGCGAGACTCTTGGAGACTGAGGAGGGGCCGGGCTGGGAGGCAGAGGAGGCAGTGGGGTGGAAGGAGAGGTGCAGGCTGTTTGTCCTCCTCCTCGCCCGTTGACACCCCGAAAACGCCACCTATTTGCCCCTGTCCCTCCCCTCTCCCTTTCTTTCCCCACTGCCTTCCAGAGGGGTCCCATAAATAAAGGTTTCCCAGGGCTGGCTGGGGCCACCTTTCTCCACCCCCTCCATGCTCTTTGCGTCTCCTTGTCCTGTTCCCTGTGGGTCTCCACCGGTTCTGTGGTGCAGGATCTGTTAGGACACTGAGGACCCCAGCCCTGCTTCTCCCTCACACCTCGTTTGAGGAACCAGCACTCAAATAAACAAAGCACTTGAGTGCAGAGGGCACACTAAGTGGGCACACAAACTGCGCTGCCCGGGGAGGAATCCAGACCTGAGCTCCCCGAGCCCAGCTATGCATCACAAATGTCCCGGAACCTGGGTAAAATAAAGATCAAAAGGAGCACAGGCTCGCTATTAAGCCTGTGAGTTACTGTGGCTCGGAGAGGGGCTACCTTGGAAATCTCTCTCTGTGGGGCAGCAAAAGCACTATGCCTGTTGGACCAGCTTCCCTGATGCCCTTTTAATGATGCAATGACCGTAAACTGACCACGATTTTCCCAGAGCCAGCTGGATCCTGTAAAAATCTGCGGCTGCTCCCCACTCCAGATGGCGTGGTGAAGTTGAATGCGTTGTTTGGGGCTTTGCTGTCGCTATCAAAGCAGAACTTGCTTAGGTCCAGGAGCAACGTCCCGTTGGCCGCGCTTTCCGGCACCATAATGCTGGGTGAGAAGACACAGTTCAGTATTTTCTCTTCATGAATAGCAACTGAGCGCCTTTTCTCAACTAGACAGCCCCAGGCCTGGGTCACCTCTCTGCTCCTAAGTTCTCACTTCACCTGAAGTCCTGACTCGTACACAGGACCCGCAGGACTCTGCCCTCCTCTCCCCCAGACTCCTCCTGTGCAGGCTGCTATCGCTCCCTCCGTTACCTGGGTGCCCCTTCCCACTCCACCTACAAGGCTCCCCACTGGTTGGGTACTGAATGTCCCCCACAACTTTGTCGCCAGAGTGGTACTGCTTGGGAGGCAGTGGAACTTTATGAGAGGGATCTGGGTTGTGCCCTTGAAGAGGATTGTGGGACCTCAGCCAAGGCCAAAGCAATGGAACCCACCAGCCATGGACTGGACCCACCAAAACCAAGAGCCAAAATAAACCTTTTCTCTTTGTAAGTTGGTTGTCTCAGGTATTTACTATCATTTCACAAAGCTGACTGGTGCCTTTCCCCTTCCACTTTCATTTATCTGTAATCAAACGCCACCTTCCCACTGAGGCCACACCATCTAAATGTCAGTGATCCCCGCCTGCTGTGCCCTCCAAACCACTTTTTATTTTTAATTCTTAGCACTCACCCCTGTGCAACACCCTATGTGCTGTGCCTACTTTTATCCTGGCCATTGTCTGTTTCCCACCACATGGACAGGGATGTTTGTTTTGCTCTTAGCACTAACTAAACATTTGTAGAATGAATGAATGATGGCACAGAGAACACAAATACAAAGAAGAGTGTAAGAGAAATAGAAATTCTAGGCTCTGCCTGCAGGAGTATAAAGACTGGATAGAGAAAACCCTTGCACCCCTGTGCCTTCATCCTCCATGCTTTGAAAGTTGGGAATTCCTTGGCGTGTGTCCCTTGGCTTCAGTGTCACAGAAGGCCCACCCAGTACCATGGTGTCATTCAAGCAAAGAGATTTATCAACATTTGAACGTGGAGGTTCTGTTCTGACACAAGAGGAAAGCTGCCCCCAGGGGACTGCGAGGAAGACTAATGTTACAGACTTCAATTCATTCAGGACCTTTTTCGTGTCTCTAGTTTTCTGTCCCTCCGTCCATTAGACGGACAGGAACAATGTTAGCTTTTGCTACTCAGCACACAGCCCCAAACTTGGCGGCTTCCAGCAGGAAGCGGTCACTTTTTCTCACAGTGCTAGGGGTTTCCAGCAGTTCTCTTGGTTCTAGCTGGACCCGGCTGGGCTCTGCGGTCCCTGGCAGCTTGCCCACAGCCCGAGGTCTAGGCTGGCCACATTCCCGTGGCTGGCGGTGGGCAGGCGGTTGGTCTGTGCTTCTCTTCGTGTTGTCTCTCCTCCCCCAGGAGGCTGGTCCAGGCTTTCATGTGGACACCTCAGGGGTCCACAGTAGCAAGAGACATCAAGTCCCAAAGCACAAGCACTTAGCAAGCCTCCGCTGGGTTGTGTTGGGGGTGTTCCAGTGGCCAAAGCAACTCCCATGGTCAAGCCCAGATTCGAGCAGAAGAGAAGCAGCTCTCGCTGGGAAGGGCAGGAAGGTCTCGTTGTTTGGGGATGCCATAGAGACAGGCAGGGATTCAGGCCGGGTTTTACAGTATGGGTGGAGGGGTTAAAATAAAATAGGTGCAGCATATGAAACACTGCAAGCTGTCTCCTACCAAGCACCTGAAAAACACTCCAATTCCTGCATCTCCAAGAGGTCTGTGCTGTTGCCCTCATTTTCCAGGGGCAGGAAGGTGGTTCAGAGTGGTTTCACAGCTGACCGAGGGAGTGAACGCCTCCAGATGTGGACCTCTGCTGTGAACTGCAGGCTCCATCAGTGAACTCCCAGACCCCAGCGTGACATCTGGCCATGTGAGCCTTGATGACAACTCTGTGGAAGCCAGGAGATGGCAAAGAACCCCAGAGCCTGAAGCCAGACATTTCAGGTGCTGCAACAAAGGCCTCTGTGCTTGACCTCTCTGAGCTGGCAGCTACCTTTTTCCTAGTGCTGGTAACTTTTGGTTTTGCCTTTGCTTTTGTTTTTTAATTGTCTTCTGTATTTTATGCTGGCGTTGAACTCCTGACGAGCCTCCTACACATGCTTTCAGCACGTTCTTTCCCTCTTCCTGACACTAGGTCTTTTTTTCCTAAATGCAGGCCTCCTGGCTCCATCGTGGCTTTGGAGCCACTGACCGGGGTCCCTGCCTGCAAAGGAGGTCGCGCCAGCCACACGCGGCGTCCTTGTGCTTCCCGCCCCTGCTCAGGGACAGCTTGCAAAGCGCTTCCTGCAGAGCGCTTTCAGCAGAAGGCCAGGCAGTTCACAACCTGGGGCCGGCTGTCTGCGCACCTTTGACGCCTGGCCGGGACCCTGCGCTTGTTCATCACCTGCCTGGGACGCCGCGGACCTCCGGGCTGAGGGCCGGAGCCTGCAGTGCCCGCGGAGACAGCAGGGGGCGCCCGCCGCCTCCAGGCCGCCCTCCCCTCCCCCGCCGCCTCCCTGGGCCACCAGATGGGACGCACTGCACGCCCGCTAGGGCACAGGGTTAGAGAGGCCGGGGGCAGCGCTCTTTCCGTCCCACATGGGTGCTGGCTTTGTCACAGAAGGATGGAGAGCGGGTGAGGAGTAGAAGCGGGGGCAGCTTCTCAGCCCCACCTGTCCAGGGCCACAGGAACTAGGGGCCACAGACAGCTCTGCAGGAAGATCTGCTCTTTGGGGCACACTTGCTGTGCTGGGACAGCTGGGGTCACCTTCCTTGGCAAAGCCCGGAGGACAGAGGGCAGGCGTGACCTTGTGTAGAAGCAGCTGTGGTTGTGTACAGGGTTAGTCCAGCACCGACTCAGTGTTGGCCTTCGGGGTGCATTCGGAGGAAAGATCAGGAGCAGGAAGGGCAGGAGCAGGAGCAGGAAGTGGCCTGGCCAGCAGGACATTTGGATGTGATGTCACCAGCGGGCTGGAGCGTCCTGCCAAGTGCCCTGGTCATCTCTGGGGACCTGGCCACAGGAAGCCAGGCGTGCCCTGAGCAGACCAGCCCTGAAGGAGGAGCAGACAGGAGGTACCAGATGCCCAGAGTTCTCACTCCCGTGTCCTCCTCCCCCAGAGAGGCAGGGCACCAGGGAGGAGCAGGAGGGCCTAGGAGGGCCCAGGCCCAAAGACGAATTTCCCAGGATGCACTAGGACCACCCCAGAGGGCTGCCACAGACTTAGATGTTTAAGGAAAGAGTAAGTGTGACTCTGCAAAACGTCTCCCCTCCAGCCCTCCGGCCCGGGCTTTTGTTAACAGAAGGTGAATTCGGTTTAAGTGCAGTGGTGTGGAAGTAACAGTTCTGGCTCCCCATGGCAACCATCCCTGCTCAGCTCAGAGAGACTGAGGTGTAGGAATGCTCAGGTCAGGAGAGAAGCCTGTCACACCCACGGTCTGGCTGTGACTGAGTTCATCAGGGTCTCGGCAGGAAGCAGATGGCAAATTAGGATAATTTTAGGAGGATTAGAAAAAGGATTATTACCAAGGTACACACAGGGGACATGGAAATCTCAAACAGAGGATGTTATCATCCCCAGACCCAGGCCGGCTATGTGCAGGTGCTACCTTATCAGAACCGAGCCCTAAAGCCAGGTAATAAGGACCCTGACCTCAACCCTTCCTGTTATGGTTGATATGCTGCATCAACTTGAGAAGTTTAGACGTTAAACTAAGAGACTCAGCAGGGAGCCAGGGTTCTTACTTTGTAAATATCCTCCGCCTGTCAAAGAGGAGGGCACTGAGGTGGTGTGAGTGTTACACCCGCCCTGGGAAGGGAAGAGTCTGCTTACGATATAAAGGAGGAGAAGAGGCTTGTTTCCACCTTTTTGCTCTGGCTGCTTTTGCTGGCTGCTGCCCTGAAGTGTTGCCCCAGTGCCATGCCACCCTGCCCAGGAGCCTGCTGACTGTGGGCTGAAACCTCCACAAACTGTGAGCTAAATAAATCTTTCCTGCCTTAAGTCTGGGTGTTGGGTATTTTGTCCCAGCAATGAGAGAAAGTAACCAAGACACTCCCCGCTGCCAGGGCTCCTCAGTGACCAACAGAAGCTCTGTATGGCAAGGAAGCCAGCTGGGACCTGCCTCCTGGTCCAGAGGGTAGTGTGGGAGGGTGGGGAGAAACCAGCAGATGTGGGAGGTGTCCAACACCTCATGCAGCTGTTCTGATATCAGACCCAAGGCGCTGCTTCTCCAGCTCTTTGAGGGCACATCCACTGGAGACCACTCACTGAAGACACTGATAAGCATAATAAAGGGATTTCTACTTCTATTGCTTACCCCAGACTATCTTTTTTCTGGCACCCTTTGTCTTTTGCACGGCTGTGCTATGGATGTCTTAGCTCTGTATCCAAAGGCACCTAGTGCAAACTTGCAAAACCAGTCAGAGATAAAACTTTCCCCACGGGGACGTCTGAGGCACAGACCTGTTCTGGCTTCAGGCTGGCTGCAGATGCGGGACCCTCTTTCTGGGAGCATCATTTCTGAGATGCCACTTCCACAGAGCAGCCCTCTTCAGACTCCCAAGAAATAAACTGGCTGGTGTGGAAACCGCAAAGATGAAACTCACTCAGAGATTCACTGATTTTGTGGCTTTTTGATGAAATAGCAGAAAGTCAATACTGCTGCCAAGAAGGCATATTAACCCAGAGTCACAGGGGCCTTTGTTTTAAAATAACTGTGGGTAGGTTGTAAGACAGACAGCAAGTTAAAATACACAAAATAACTCATATGCCACTTGTATCTGCCTCTTTCCCTTTTGTTTTTATGCAATTAAGTTGTGTACAGTGAATTAGATGCTTTGTTTTGCTTTGCGTAAATACTTGGTTTGTTTTATTCATATTCCTGGTGGTACATTTCTCTGGGAGATCCTAGTTCCTGGCAAAGCCTGAATCTCGAGCATCTATTCTAACCGCTAATGAACAGCACCATCTTGCCACAGGTAGCAATAAATAAGGAAAAGGCACAGCCCAGAGAGGGTCTAACAAGTCCCTGCGGTACTTTTCACCAACAGAGTAAAATAAAAAATAACTCTCAGCAGAGTTAGAAAGCAGAGAAGAGGAAAGGAAATGAAAGTGAGGGAAGAAAAAGCAGGATGAAAAGAAAACCTGTGGACTGAATCGGACAGTTCCAAGCTACTTATTGCTGTGTGCCATTCCCCCAAATGCCCATAATTCTTCCGTTCCTCCTGAACTGTGCCAGGAAAGCCAGAGGGCTGAGTGCCCTCCTAGAGGGAAGATGCCAGCACTTTTGGCAGATGTGCATACCTGAAGGTGAGCTGACTGCAGGTGGCTGGGTTGTCATTGACATCCTCCACAATGAAGGTTATCTGGATACGGTTTTCCTGGCCCCCGGAGGGTCTGTCCCTCACGAGAACTTCCAGAGAGATGGTGGGATTCTGTCTTAATTCACCGGCATCTCGGTCTATCCTCCGGGCCACTAGGATTGTGCCAGTCACTAAGAAAGCAGAGGTTAGAACATGGCGATTTGAAGATAAATGAATCAATAAAGGCACTGGAGAAAATTGGAAAAGGCCATTCTAGGAGAAGGATTGGCTCGCACAGAGAACATCCTCTCTGCACCTGTGGTATGGTTTACACCTAGTTGTTCCCTAAAGCCTCTTGGCAGCACCGTTGGGAATGACTGGTTATGGCAGCTTCTGCTGACCTGCTGTTAAGGGGGAGTCCGGTCTGCAACGCCAGGTCACTGTGAGCAAGGCCTGGACGCCTGTGTCAGCCTCCCTGGCTCCTCCCTTGACTCTCTGCTTCCTGAGCACCATGAGGTGAGCACCTGTCCTCCGCCATCCCCCTCTGCTGTGCCCTGGGCCACCAGACTATGGGCTGAAACTTCTATGAACTTTAGCCAAAGTAAACATCTCCTTTAAGTTGTGGTTGTTAAGTATTTTTTTTTTTTTTGTGGTTGTTAAGTATTGCATTTCAGTGATGGAGGAAAGTGACTGTGACAACGTACATTTAAAAAATAAAACTCATGTCAGTGTCTGGTGCTAGGAACTTAATGGAGCAGCTGGCCTGATCCTCCTAGAATGTTTCCCCCTAGTCTCTAAGTCAGGCCTCTGTCCACAGCCCCAGCCATGGGTCACAGAAGTGGTAGATGGCTGACCCCAGCCTGGCCCACAGACGGGGGTGTCTTGTTGGAGACTCCTGCTGGGGTCAGTCCCGTTAGCAGGACAGCCACAGGTGAAGCCGGAACTCCAGAGGCTGAGCTCGCTGTCGCAGCCCAAGTCCACCCTGCCTGTGTGCTGATCAGCTAGCGCCTTCTGTGATCCACCCAGTGTCCAGTTGATGTACATTCCTACCTTCTGTCTTTCCCCATAGTTGGTTTGGTTTGCCTTAGTCTCTGTTACTTGTAACCAGCATCTTAATAAAAATCCCCCCCCCAGACGTGTACAGATTAAAAGTGCAATTTTGCAGTACCCCAAGGAACGGAATTCTCAACCCTGGGTGCTCCTTCCCCACGGAGTGAGGCCCTCGGTGACCACATGCTACACTTTTCACAGTGACTGTCCTTGCAGGCCCCAGTGAGAGCGGAATCCTTTGCCCGCTGGTCCACGGGGCTGGTAACACGTGGTCTTCTAAGGGTGTCTGCAGCTGGCCCCCACACAGTCTCCTGGGCCAGTGAAGTCCTTTGGGGTGATGTGGTCTGGATTTATGGAGGAGGGACCGTCTAGTGGTGGCTGTGAGACCAGGCTCTGGAATTAGCTGGCTTGGATTGGAATTTCTGCTTCACAACTATCAGCTGAGAGACTCTGGGCAAGGCACTCCACCTGTCCAGGTCTCTTCCCAAGCCTCAGTTTCCTCTTCTGTCAAACATCAAATGTGGATCATGACACTTATCGGATTGAGTACAAGGGATGTAATGCAAATGGGTCGCTCTGCCTAATACCTGTGTGTACCAAGTCGCCAATAAAAGTGACTGTGACTCAGCAACCTGGCAGACTGAGCCCAAGGACATGGTTCCTTCCTTCACCGTGGGCGCTGTTTAGTACCTGAAAGGGGCTGACCTGAGCTGAGTTGTGGTTTCAGCATGACATACACAATGCACTGCCAGGACTCAATTCCAAAGAAAATAGAGTGAAATCTCATTCGTAATTTTTAAATGCTGATTACATTTTAAAATGATAATATTTTGGATCTGTTGGTTTAAACAAAATGCTTTAAGATTAATTTCACTTGGGGCTGGGGATTTAGCTCAGCAGCATACGTGCCTGCCTTGAAAGTAGGCAGTCGTGAGTTTGATCCCTGGTACCGATAAAAACGAAAAAGACCAAAAAAAAAAAAAAAGATTAATTTCACTTGTGTTTTTTTTCCTTCAAAAATTTGACAACTAGGGACTTTGAAATTCCTCATTTGTGGAATAAATCCTGTCTTCTTTTTTGTTGTTGTTGTTCCTATTTTGGGTTTGTTTGTTTGTTTGCATTTTTATTTTTTTTGAAACAGGGTCTCTCTCTCCAGTTTGAGCTGGCCTTGAACTGACTTTGTAACCCAGGCTGGTCTCAAACTTGCAACAATCCTCTTGCCTCAGCCTCCCTAGTGCTGGGATTATAGACATGCACCACCATACCCCCAGATCCTGTCTTCGGAAGGCATCAGGGTGCCTCGGGGTAGGAATCCATGTACTCTCACATACCCATCCTCACAGATGATGGGGGTTCAGGGCACGCAATCCCTCAACACAGCACCTAGGTATCTAAGAAAGGCACAGAAGCAGGAAGGTCTCTCTCCCCTCCTGACTTTCACTGTAAGGGAATTCTCTGCCTTTCCATGAAGTGGCCCTAAGAGCTTCAAGCCAGAGATGCCCTGCCTGCACCCAGAGGAAAGGGTCACCGCAGTCACGCAAGACACAGAGGCCAAGAGTAATGCGCAGCGCAGGCCTGGCTGAGGCCCCGTGTACTGTCGATTCGATGTACAGCTTCGTTCTCCAGCCGTAATCCACCAGCTGTTACTTCAGTGGCCTCACTGCAGAAGTACAATTTTCCCTGTAGCTTGGGACTTCCTTTCTGAGGGCCCTCCACGTTGCATCAAACTCAGACTAAACACATTTCCATTCTTTTCTCTTGTTCATATGCCTTTTATGGATACAGACAGACTAGACCCTCAGCATAAACTGGACAATGGGTGAGGAAGGAAGGCTCTTCGCCCTACAGAGAGGCAGGGTGGCAGCCAGCTGCCCACGCCTTCCACCACCCCCGGGCCAGCTGCTTGTATCCACTTATCCCCTCCCTGGTCCCCAGAAATGACCCTAAACAGAAAGGCGTGTCTCCAGCCAAAGAGGTAAGATACTGTAAAACGAAACGACCCAAATGGCAGGATTAGAGGACGCACGGAAAGAGGGGCATATGCAACTCACACTGGTTTATCACAAAGTACTTGCTGACTGTCGTGATGGTGTACAGGAGGTGGCCGGGGAAGCTTCCGTCTTGATCCGGGTCCTCAGCTGTGACATTGGCCACAATGGTTCCCACGCGCAGCTCCTCCGGGATGGAGTACACGCGCGTCGGGCTGGAACACAGCAGACACAGCTCACTCGCAGGGGCACGGGAGGGAGCAGTCTGGGCGGTGGGTATTTTGGTTAGTGCTAAATATAGCTCCGAGCTGTTCAAGCTGCATCAACACGCTCGGGCTCTCAGGGAGAGTGCAGTAGTGGAAAGGAGGGGTGACCAGCTTTTGTGCTTCCAAAGATCACAGCCCCGTGGCTGCATAGAAAGTGCCACGCTGGAACCCACAGCCACTCGCACAGGCCAGTCTCTGCCTCCATGCACGCCTGCCTGTGCCATTTCAGACCAGCCTGCGCACAGACAGCTTTTCAGACAAAGACAGTTGGCCTCTCCAGCTAGCTTCTCGCATTCTCCTAGTGTTGTGAGAAACAGAAAAAAAAAAAAAATCTGCCTGAATTCTTTAAAAAATCCATCTGGACGTGAAGTCCAGAGCCGCAGGTTTCCTATGTCCTTGTGACTCCAAACCTGCTCCCAGAAGCTGGAAACATTGTGAAGCTCCTCTCCCAGACACATAGCTCACTTTTCATTCCTTTCTTGTCTTTCTTCCTTGCCAAAAATATCAAATTTGCACATGGAATTCACGCACGTTTCCAGGGTGCATTCATCGTGAAGTCTGATTCTTGGAACTCAGGACCAAGTGCCCTGGCAGAAGTCAAGGTCAGGGTAAGGTCCTCCAGGGGCATTTCTCACCGCAACTTCTGGGGCCTTTAGAGTCTCCTATCTAATGTGGGATGCTCAGCCCTTTGTCACTGTGAGTTAGCATCCAGCAAAGGGACCGTGAGGAGGGCCTGCTGCATGCAACCCCACAGGACCAGGGGCATGGGCCTGGCCACCCAAACCCTAGAAGGAAGATTTTCCCCCTTCACAAGACATCCTGAGGATGTGTGTGGCTTTAAGAAGGGTGGTACAGAGGGGACCACCACAGGTCCCTGTGCCCCCAGGGTGGAGAGAGGACACCCTGGAAGGAGAGTTCCCTCCCACCCTTTGCCCAGCACTTCTCAGGTGGAGGCTATTTTACCTGGACACTTTTTTGGCTGTCACAATGGGGTGGGGGTGTTCTTGGTATCTAGCAGGAAGAAGCCAGAGATGCTGCTAAACTTCCTATAGGTACAGAAAGCCCTGGCAGAAAGAGGAACCAGCTCGAAAGGTCAGCAGTGCACTGCTGAAACCTGCCTGAGTGCTCCTCCTGCCTTTGCTCCGTGCCACAGGAGCCAGGCCCCTTGAAGGGGACCTGTCAGGCTATCAGAGACAGCATGGTTCCCCAGGCCAAACAGCAGGTCTTGGCTGCCGAAGTATTGCACCTGGCAGAAGAGGGAATCTACAGTGTACTTGGCTTTGGGAACCTGGTCATCGGAACCTGGGCGAGGGGTGGATGAGAGCCCAGTGCCACAGTCATGGGAAAGGGTGGAGATTCTGGGTGACAGGATGGCTTCACCTCTCCGAGTGAGTACTCCGTAAGTGCCTAAAGTGTGCATGGTCAGGCACAGGTGGAAGAGGACTGAGGGTCATCACAGAAGAAATGGGCATGTGAGGAGAAAGACCTGTCTGCTTCTGCTGACATCTAAAACAAGGTGCTCTGCAGAAATAGCAAGCACAGTGCTTGTGTAGAGCGCGTCAGGTGCTCCTGCAGTAAAGTGCTTGGCTTTAATAATGGTAGACTCCCAATGTGCACATCCTGAATCCACAAAGCTTGCAGGTGTATGTCTCCATCCAGGGACGGAATAGTTAGACAGTCTCAACAGCAGAGACAGCACCTGCCTTGGCTGCATGAATTGCAGGCACTTAACTATTAGGACATGTGGAAGGGCTGTTCTACAGTCAACATTGCTGCATGACTCGAACTCATTATGCTTGAGTTAGTTTGATGGTTTAATTTTTCTAATCCTGAATTTATAACTAATGCTAGCACTGGTTTGGGGAAGGAGGAAAACAGAAGTCCAAGGGAACCATGCAAACCCTCAGTTCAGCACCTCGTGTAACCTAGGTGGATGCTTTTGAATTGTGGATAGTTGAAGGATAAGGTCCCCTGTGACTGCACTGCCTGGACCAAGTTAGGCAGTGTTATGGTTTGTGTCTCGATGTCCCCCCAAAACCTCATGCAGTCATAGGTGGGGCTTTTTCAAAGGTGGCTGAATCTTGAGTGTGGGATGCTGGGATTGATATGGTGCAATGCTAGGATTAAGGGCACTAGGATTAAGTGTGTAAGTGCTACCCATTCTAAGTATCCTGGATAAGACATAAGGGACAGAAAGAGCTGTGGGCACCCCTTGTTGATTTGCTATCTTCCACCCACCATGAACTGTTTTTCCTCTGTGATGCCTGTCTGCCACCCTGCCTTAGAGCCAGGCAACGATGGACTGAAATCTCTATAAATTGTGAGTTACATAAACCTTTTTTCCCTTAACTTGTAGGTGTTGAGTATTTGGTCTCAGCAACTAGAAGAGTGATGAAGACAAGCAAGCCCCTGCCCCACGTTCCCTTCGGGAGAGCAGCTCCTGTAGACCTACCGTTACCACCATGTGGGCAGCACTGTTTGAAATAAAGTCGGCCAGCTAAAAACAGACAGTCCCACTGGTCACAGTCACCAAAGTCATGCTCCCCCTCTGGGGATGAAGGCTAACAGGCTCATCCTCAAACCCAGAGGGAGAATTCCAGCTGATGCTGGGGCATCCCAAACCAGCCAAGTCTTGTCTGACTGCTAATATCAGTTGTTACATTTTAGATGACACAGTACAAACTAGATGGTTTATAAATTCTGTCCCAGAAGGACTTATCTTTCTCTGCAACCCCATTATCCTGCTCCTCTACCTCAGAGACAGAGTGTATGGGGAGGGCGTGGGAGAAGGTGTGGGCTCCAGCCACAAAGCTGTCTCCCTCCTCTGGGAATTACTGATTAGTCTGCATCAGTGGCCCAGAGGCTGTGCCCAAGGCTGGGCTGGGCTGTCACATGCTTCTCATCTGCCTGGTCTCCCAGAAATGCACTGTGCTCTCCTGGGTTGCCCGGGCAGCAGGTACTGGTGTGAGGCGTGATGTGCAAGTTCATCGCTGCTGTTGTATCCCCAGTGATGCCCAGCTGCTGGGCCATGGACCATGTCCATACACCAAAGCTTCTCACTGATGCTGTGTTGGCAGCATGCCCCCAGTTAACCCGGGAATGGGGTGGCCTTAATATCTCCCAGTCTCAGAATATATTTGCAAGCACTCATCTAGCTCAGGGGACCTTGTAGAATTTTTAAAATAAATTTTTATATAACTTCATTTTTATCTGCCAAATGACAATTGTATCCTAATGGTTTGGTTTTTTGGTTTTTTTGGTTTTTTTGTTTTTGTTTTTTTTTGTTTTGTTTTTTTTGTTTGTTTGTTTTTTGTTTTTTTTTTGTTTGTTTGTTTTTTGTTTTTGTTTTTTTTTTTTTTTTGGTAGAGCATCACATCCTGAGTGTATTCCCAGCACAATTGCAGCTGCCCCTAGGCAGGTTACTGGGCTATTTTCCCTTGGCTGGCTCCTGTACATCGCAGGGTCTGGGTTAGGCAGAATCTCTGCAATCAGGAAGCCAGGCTGTGTGGGGGGCCCTTTGCTAGCCCAGTACCCCATCCTTTCCCGAATCCCCACCCACAGCAGGCAAAGATCCCTCCTTGGGCCAGGGATGGTGCTAGGTTTGTGTTCGCAGGCTGCCACCCTCTGGGACCATCTGTCCTCACTGCTGCCATGGCAGGGGCAGCAGACCCAGCCAGATGTCTTCCTGGAGCCATCAGGGCAGATAGAAACTTCACTTCCAGGAGAGGACAGGTAGGTGCCCAAGGCACCTACAGATGTCTCCTCAGTGCAAGGACGGCACCTACAGAGGGCGCTATGGAGTCCTGACTGAGCCGATACGCTGCAGGCTTCTGCTGAGATGTACACTGCACTGCCACGCACAGGACCTGCACGCAGAGACTGCTGCGTGCACACAGAGGCTTCAGGTCCACTCCCCACTACGTCCACAACCCCATTATGCCTGCGAATGTGGATGCCAGAGAGTGGGGAGCAGAAGTCCAGAGGCCCATGTGAAGCATGCTGACGACCTTGATCTGTCTCTGCTGAGCCCGAGCAAAGGGCATCCCTTTGTCTCACCATCAGTGTGTCTGAAGACCTGGAAAGTCAGTGCCTGATGCCCAGATTCCCTGTGGCCTCAGCCTACCTGGTGAAGAGAGGGATCTCGTCATTGATGTTCACGATGGACACCCGGAGCTCTGTGGAGGCTTTGAGGCCTCCACTGTCCCTCACCTCCACAACAAGGTGGAAACTGTCAGGGAAACATTGCAAGTGAGAAAATCAGCTACGAGATCCTGCCTCAGAGCTGCGTGGGGCAGGGAGATAAGTCTGTCCCCTTCCCGCCCAGTCCAGCTTGTTCCCCTGTCCTCAGGCTTGATCTGTCTCCTCCTCCCTGATGGACCTCTGAGCATCCTCCTGACCCTGGGCCGCTCCCTCCCACCTGTCCTTCTTGCTACCCAAAGAGGGCAGTTTAGGACTGGACAGCAGTGCTCCAGGGACGCCACCATGTCCTGCCTCCCCAGGTTCATGGCCCCCTAGCAGCAGCAAGGCAGTAGGTCACTCAGTGTCCGATCGCCTGCAGGTTTTCCCAGCCCTGCAAATAAGCCAAACTTCGTAGCAAGGCTACCTCTTGTGTCCTGCTTCAAAGTCCAATTCTGTCGTGGAGAAGAGGGTGCCATTAGCAGACATGCCGAAGTTCCTTGAAGGGGAAGTCAGGAAATACTAGAAAACAAGAGAGGTGCGAATTGGGGAAAGCCAGGGTGGAATCGAAGCCCCTGCCTGTGAGCCAGCCGGAGAGCTGGGAAGAGGAAAACACCACCCACCCACCCACCCACCATGCGCAATCAGCTGATTTGGAGGAACCCTATTGTTTGATGGACTTTGCAAGCCTAAAACAGAGCAACTATTGAAGAGGACAACCATATGCAATGTGCAATATGGTAACTATTGTTGGTTTCCTACTGTCTTATCACTGTTCCGATTTGATTCATTGCCCTGTTTTATTCCCTTTAAAATTAAATTAAAAAAACACAAGGGAGGAAATAGAATTAAGTCAGCACAGCTGTGCTCCTTTCCCTGGCGATGTTTGTTCTGTTACCATTTTATATTTTTGATCCTTGGGACATTTTGGATGAATCAGGATAAGGTCCAAAAGGCAGCTCTCAGACTTAGTGGCTCTGAGACCAAGAAGCTTCTGGACCTGCTGGCCTGACCTCCTGGCCCTCACTGACCACACCCTGAGAAGCTGGTCGGTGGCTCCTGCTTCGACTGCTGAGTGTCCCAAGGGGCCTGTTTCTGCAGCCAGGCTCCTTCTCCTGGCCATTGCACTCAAGCTTCCATGTCCAGACCAGGTCTGGTTGTGAGTCTAAGCTTTGGCTGTAACCAAGGCTGGGTAAACATGCCCACCATGGGTGAGTCCACAGGGCCATGCCGGAGTGAACAAGATTTGTCTCCACCCTTAAAAGAGCTCGCAAGGAAAGGGGGAAAATTGGACATGAGCATCACTGAAAGCATGGAAGGGACAGGAGTGACTCCGAGAATGCGATGCAGCAGCCGCAAGGTCCACACTGGACCCTGGATTGCCAACAGAGAAGAGCTGCCCTGCCTTAAGTTTCATCCCAAGGCTCACCCCTGGTAAAGCCCTTCCCGTGTCCTTGTCGCTCTTGGTCTACTCCTGATGATTTCCTATCACGGTGGCCTAGATCTGATGGACATAGATCCAAGTTCTCCTCCCTGTGGGACGGGGCCCAGTCCTCGCCTTGCCTACCACTTAGGGATGACCTCACCCGTTGCCCCTCCAGGTTACCGGGGTGATTACGTGAGAATTCGGGCTTTAGAATAGGAATCGCTGCAGCAAAGGCTGAGATTTCTGTGTTTGGATCCATTTGTCTCAATGGGCTTTACGGTGAGAAGGGCTCATTATTTCCTGCTGGGATGAGGGATAATCTGTCCTCAAGGCCTTGGATCTCCAGAGCAGATAATCAGTGGAGATTTTGTAAGCAGAGTCACAGCTCCTGAAGTCTAGAATCAAAGACACATTGGCCAGGGGTTCCGGCCCAGCGATTTGCTGTGTGATCCCAGCTGACTTCCCAGTATGAACGCACACTGAAAATAGATTAAAGGTCTCCTCTGGGGCCGATATAAGGTTTTAAAAGGGTTTACTTTCTGTCTGTTATTTGATAATCTCTTTCTAGTTTTAGTGAACGTTGGTTTTAATGGGGGTGGGAGGAAAGTATTAAAAAGACACTAAATAGAAGTCACCTGCAAAACTTCATCATTTTGAGGAAACACTTTTTTCCTGGGCAAATACACGAAGTCTTAAGTCTATATTCTTTTTTTTTTTTTTTTTTTTTTCTTCAAGTAAGTGCGAGTATATTAAGTCTATATTCTAATCGAAAGGATGATACCTTGTTCTTTTCACCCATATAAGTGAGCTCTTCCTCCTGTTCTTAAACTTTACTAGAAAAGCCCATTAATGCCGGCACCACCCTCTACTATACAGATTGATTTGACTAAGTCTTTCTTGCTTGTCATCTAGGTGATTCTGCCTGACTTTTAGGAGGAAACATTTGGAAAACACCAGGGAGCACCCTTCTCCTAAAACCTCATATTGTCTGAGGCCCCCCCCCCCCCCCGCCACATGCCAGCACAGGGTGTCAAAATCCCACCCACCTCCAGCTGCCTGGCCCTGCGGGCCCACACACAGAGCAGTCGTGGGTTTTTGAGCAGAACCTGCTATGCAGAGAATCTTTCTGCACCCACAAATCAGGCCCAAGCTGAATGTGATGGAGGACAGGGGCTAGAGACCGTGGGGGAACATTTAGGATGTGCACCTCGCTCATATGTCTTTCCATGTGAGATCTGAAAAGTTCCAGGAGATGGATTTCCTATTTGGGTTGGTCCCAAGCAGTGTGAGGTGTGAGACACACAGACGACAGACAGGCCCTGTCCTGCAAAAGCGCATGGTTGATTGAGGAAACAGACAGGGGAGAGGAGCCCCAAAAGGGATAAATGCGGGAGAAGATGGAAAACTAGAGGGAAAACTTTTAGACTCATCTGGAGATGAATTGCAGATTGGAATAATAAGCAAAGTTCCATGATTCTGGATTCCTGGACTTGAGGCCTGAGAGTTTGTACCAAGAGTAATAGCAGCAGGGCCAACCTATGTTGTGTAAAGGGTCAGAACAAGGCCTGGCATGTGGTGAGCCCACAGCAATCATTTGCCACTGTCCTGTTAGACTGAGGATTCTGGGGACTTGGTACAGCTCAATGGTAGAGCGCTTGCCCCGCACATGCAAGCCCTTAGGTTCAACCTCCAGCATCAGAAAAAAAGAAGCAAAGAAAAATGAGAAAGAATTCTACATCAGGAAAGGTATTTGCTGTGTTCTTAGTAGGTAATGGGGCATGGCACATAATAAATGCTCAGTAAAATTGGCGGAGTGTTAAATTCGGAGGTTTCCTACTTCCTGATTTCCCATCTGAGGCAGATCAACATTCTTATCTTAGAGAACCTTAAAACAACAAAAAACCATCATGCCAAGTATCTTCTGAAAAAAGATCTGTTTGAATGTGCTGATACTAGACTGGGCTATGAAATCCTCTCCAGTCCAGCCTACAGTCTCAACCACTTCTGAAAAAAAAAAGAAAGAACAAAAAAGCAACAGCAATCGATAGAAAGGGTAGAAAGAACTGCGAATCCAGGGATGTGAGAATTTTCCTCTTCATTTCTGTTAAGAGGTTGATTCCAGGAATCTTTTTCTTTTTCTTTTTTTGTATTAGCGCCAGGGTAATTTTTTCCCCTGAACCTTTGCGCTTTGTTCGTGGGAATGGCAGTTTAGCACTGAGAAAGGAGATAATATCCACAGACTAAAAATATTGTGTCATGTGGCCCTTTGCCAGAGACTCAGTAAGGCTCTCTGTGGAATCTGGCGCTCTCTGCCCCCTTTGCAAGGCTTGTTTAATCAAAGCTGCTCCCTTGATATGCATTCTTGGAAAACAGAAATTAAATAGAATGAAAAGCAACTGCTGCCCCTCTCTGCTGGCAAAGAAAAGTCCTGAGTAATCAGATCAATTCAGCGCACAAACGCCTGTGGTGGGCAATCCACTTCCCGCTGAGAAGCCGCTCCCACCTCTTCTGAAGCCCCTGGCAGCTACAGGTCGCTGCTGGGCACGCAGCTGTCCTGGGAAGACCCGGAACCCACCACTCCCACCCCGGTCTCTCCTCAGTGTGCCTTTGCTGCGAGGCAGAGGGGAAGGTGAGCTGCAGCTGACCCAGTTTCCTGAAATGTCACAGCCCCCAGGGACTCGCTACTTCCTGCCTGCTCCCAGCAGACGCTTCCCCCATCACAGTGCCAGTGAGTCAACCCTCAGTCACTTTCAGGGCTGCGGGTCAAACAAGCAACCAGAATTCAGCTTCCTGGCTGGCACGTCTGCAATCTCAGCACTCTGGGAGGCTGAGGCAGGCAGATGTCAGATGTGGAGTGTGAGCTCAGTCTGGGCAGTTTATCAGTTTAGTGAGATCCTGTCTCAAAATCAAGAATCACTAAGGATGTAGATCAAAGCAAATGCCCTGAGTTCAATCCCCACTACCAGGAAAAAAGTAAAATTAAAAACTCAGCCTCTTCCCGTGTCTTAGAGAAAAGAGAAACCAACTTCCTAGACACTGAGGAAGGGCCCTCAGGCTTTCCAAGTCCAGGAACCCACGGACTTTGACAAGCCACTGAGCCCATGGCCAAACCCCACCTGGAGCCCCAGCACTGGGGGAGCCCCCAGCATAATCATCTAGCCGGCTGTGGCGAGTTAGGAACAGGATGCCACACTCTTAATAAATATTCATTCATGATGACTGTTCTGTAAATGTGGACTCCTCTCTCAGCTCCTACCCTACATCCTGCTCAGAGGTGGCAGGTAGGGGAAGGGGGGGAGGAAAGGGTGGGAGAAGGGAAACTACGATTAAAACCACCCAGCACAAGCCATCCCTCAGCCTGGCCCTCACCCCGGCTCCCACCAGCACTGGGCCATCATGAGGAGGAGCTCAGGGGGTCCTTGACGGTTTTTGAGGACAGACGCCCAGGCAGACAAATGTGCAATATCAGCATATCTCATATACATTTCACATATACAAACAAAATAGTATAGAGCGTGACCCCATGGCCACCCGTCCTGTCGTCCCTTGCTATAAGCACCTGGGCTCTGTGCTGAACACTCAGGGCTGTGTCAATCCCAGAGACCCTGGTCCCATCTACCAGAGAGGTTTCTCCCCAGGATGCCTGCAGCAAAGTGCCTCTTGCTGAGACTGTAAGGGGCTGCAGAATGGACCCGGATGGTCCCATCCAGCCAGGACCTTGACAGACACAGCCATGCAAGGGGCGATTGAGAAAACGTGACAAATGCTTAAATAAAGAAAAATCAGTACAATAAAAGACACATTGCCATAAATCCCCCCAGTAATTCCTCACTTTGAGCACACTGATCCCATCGTTCTGGCCACTTTCTGAAGCAGTTCAGGGAGTCCTCTTTCATGAGTGTCTTGACGAGGTATGATCAAAAATATGGTGAACACTAGTGTCAAGTGGTACTTAGCAGAAAAGCAGATTCATAAGAACATTACAGTGTATCTTCATCCACCAAACTCTCTGGTCCCGGTACTGTGTGAGTTCTGGCCTTTCTCCAAAACTCAAAATGACCAGGAAAGGTGAGTGACTTGAACCGTTCAGGACCACAGCACAGCTAAAGCAGTCACAAGAAATGATCGGCGGCCGAATTTCTTCAGAAAGTGGTTAGAACGAGGGGACGGCAAGTTCAAAGTGAGGGGAATATTTTGGGGGAGATGAGTGGCAATGTGTCTTTCACTGTAATTTTTTAAAAATTTAAATATTCACTGTGTTTCAATCACATCTCTTAAATCATTCACTTTGCATTCTGGGAGGACTGGAAGCTGAGACCGGCTGCCCGGCTCAGATGGAGTGGTTCTGTCACCCTGCCAGCAGCCCAGCAGCAGCAAGGTTACTGCTCTTTTAATTTAATCCTTTTGTCCAGAGAACCACATACACTTCATTTTATGCAAAAGCTCTTCCCTAACGGAAGGGCCAGAGAGTCCCTAATGGAAGGACTGCAGCTCGGCTCCAGTCACTTTGCCTCCAGCTGGGAAACCAATTAGGGGCATCAGTCCCTGAGGAAGCTCTGCTGCAGCGAAGGGCAGGGCCGGCTCCTTGAGCCAGCCTGGGGAGGAGCTGAGCTGCGGGCTCCCCGAGAGGGGAAGCCAGGAATGTGACCGTTCACACGTTCAGCAGCCTTCTCTGCGGTGTGCGGTGTACGACTGCCCTGCTGGCCCTGCTCCACCTGCATTCCTGGATGCTCTGACGCTGCCTGGGAGGAGGAGAGTCCTGCCTCTAAGCCTGGACCCCCAGGAGTAGCCACTGGCTGGCATCACATGACCCCTGACAGTGGAACTTGGGGGTCTGATGGAGGTGGGCTGTCAGTGTACTTCATATTCTAAGGCAGTGAACGTAACAAAGCACACCAAATCTCTCAGTAGTCCTTTATTTTGATGATGTTTTAGAATGATAATTTGTTGGATATGTTGTTTACTACACAAAAATTGCCTTCACCTGTTTTCATGTACTTTTAATGTGGCTGCTAGAACATTTACAGTTTCATCTGAGGCACCGGTTTTCACTCACACAATAACTTTATTGGATGGTGCCGGTCCAATATGGAACAGTAGGATGGCTAAGCACGTGCTTGAGACAGGGTCTCATTGTAATTTGAGCAGTCCTTGAACTCACTATGGAGTGCCAGTCTGGCTTTGAATTTGCAGCAATCCTCCTGCCTCAGCCTCCTGAGTGCTGCGATTATAGGCCTGCACCACCCTACCTGGTTCAGCACATGCTTTTAAATTTCTTTGAAACAAATACTAGCGGTTTTTGAATACATATCGATCTATATCACCTGCGACACCATCTCATTTCACGGAACTGCGTAAGAGTTGTAATGCTTGTCATTTAAAGGTTGGGGCTTCAGGATGGGTCTTAGAGTTCTTCTGTCTTGTTTTGTTTTCCCGTACTGGGTCCTGAACCCAGTCCTTGCACTGAGCCTATTTTGTTTTACTATTTTGACACAGGCGCTTTGCTAAATGACCCAGGCTGGCTTCAGAGTTGCAGTTCTCCGACCTCAGCTTAAATATTTAAAACTCCTTCTTCCTCCTCTGTTTGCTGCCACCAGGGAAGTAACCTGTAGAGCCCAGCAGGAAAAATGACAGGTACAAATGTAGCCTTGGCCCTGGGCTGGCGCTTGTGCTCGCTGACAGTCTGTTCTTCCTCTTTCTCTCAGGGATTCTGCAGTGCGGGGTGGGCAGAACCCCTAGACGTGCTCCCTAACTGAGTGCTGTCTCCAGCGGCCCAGGGAGCATTCCTGCTGAATCCCTCCTCTTCCTCTGCGAGGGGAAGGGCCGGCTCCAGAGGGGCAGGCTCCCTAAGGGGCCAGGACCTTATACACCTGCATAATTTGGAAGTATATTGAAGTAGAGACCTAAAAATAACCCTCTGACTTCACAAATAAAATTCCTTCTGCTTGGTCCCCACTGCAATTTATAAGAAGCTTTTCAGCAATCACAGTGCAATTGAGCTGCACTTAAAAGTACACACGGTGGGGCTGAGAACACAGGACCCCAAATTCGCCATTCAGCAAGGGAAGGAACTGCAGAAAAGCGTGAAGGTCACTCTGACCTTCTCCCGCTTTCTCTCCTGAAGCAAGGTGTGAAAGGAGCTCCCTGACCTCCTGAAGCAGGTGGTGAGAACCTCCTCCCCCAGGGACCTGCCCAGTACCCCAAGACCTCGGAGACTCTGAAGGCACAGCCCACTCAGGACCCCGCTGCCTCCCATCAGGCCAGAGCCCTTCCTGCCAGCACCCGTCCATGACTTTGTTCTCCCTCAAACCTGTGTACAAATGCACTGTCCCTCGGCTCTTGCATCTCTCTTCTGAAGACTCCCACGTGCCTCCAAACCCTGGTTAAACACATTTGCCACGCTTTCCTCTTGTTATAGCCACGCCCCCTGCAATGGTGAGGAATTGTTCCCAGATACAAGCGGATGTCTGCTCTCCAGACTGGGAACCGCTAAGATGAGTCTCTCACTCAGCTTTGTCCCCACAGCACCTAACAGGACACCGGATACGTGACATGGTCCTGGTAAATGTGAAATGAACTAAGTCAATCATGCAGCACCAACCATGTCCATCCTGAATCTCTTTTCCTTCAGTGCCATCAATGGTAGTAGCCACAGGACACAGCTCTGGCCAATAAAAAGGAGCAGAAGTCCTCTGAGTAGGGCTTCAAGGAGACTTTGTTTTCCAGTTCTAGAAAGAAGGGGGAGCAGACGAGCTGAACCCTGTCCTGCTTTTGTCTTTGTTTTTCCTGCAGGGAATTCAGAGGCAAGGCGGGAGATGCAGCAGTCATCTTGCAAACATGACGTGGGAAAGTCAGGAGAAAGCAGGTGCACATGTTCTTCATGGAGGAGCAGAAACACAGAATCCAGGCCCCTGATGACGACAGCCATGCCACCCCACATCGACTGCCCGCCGAGAGACTTCTTATACAGAAGAGAAAAACAATCTGTACCTACCACTGCGACTAAGCTTTCTCTTACATACAGACAAATACATCCCTGCCACACAGCTAATGCGTTATAAGTAAGGATCTATGCAAAGCACCTCCCGTGGCGGAGTGGAAATCCATTAAGTACACTATTTGCATATGCATTTGCATCTCCATGCAAATGTTGACCTGAATGAATCTTGGATAGATGAATGAATAAAGCCAGATTACCCTAACTTTAAAATATGTCCAATAGTCTCCTGACAGCTGTCTCAGGCCCCATGGACTCCCTATATTGTCCTGGAATCCATGCCCACGGCCGCCCTCCTCCATTAGACAAGTGACCCTGTTGGGCTGCAGGTCATACAGCACAGGGTAAAAGCAGCCTCCTGTGTCCCAGCTGCCCCAGAGCCATAGTTCATGCAGGCAGGCTGCCCTCATCAGGCCGTGTGGGCTGGAGTGCCGGCTGCTCCGAGGTTAGTCCGACAGAATTTGCTTCGCCTTTCTTTCCCCAGGCTGGGCTGTGGTATGGGTGCAGGGCACCCAGTGGGCAGAGCTTGGAGTCAGGAATCTGCACCCAGAACTGGCTGGGAGACTCCCGGGGTTCCTGCCTACAAGCACCCCCCAGTAGCTCCATACAGGACATTGATTCATTCATAAAGGACAGAAGAGACATCACTGTCTCAGACTGGACCAGATCCAGTCTCCTATCCACTTTGACACCTAGAATTTCTGGGATTCTTAAATGCATTTTTAACAACCAGGCTCCAGGCAGCTTGGCCTCATCTCCTGAAGGGCAAATGTGAGTCCTGACTTTGAGCGTACATAGCAAGACCCTGTCTGAAAACGCCAAAGTAATAACGAAACAGTGTAGGCAAGTTCACATAGGCTTAGATTTCACAGCCGTGGAGCACGGGGACACACCGCCACTGCGCTACCTCATCTAACACGCACACCTTCCTGCTGCAGTCAGTACTCCCGACGCAGGAGGAGCCGGGGCTCTGGGCTGTCTCAGGGGACCCAGGGCCAGGAATCCAGGCTGGTGTTCGCCTCCAGCCCCCAGGCCAGTGGGCTCTGTGCTCCGGTTCTATGAGCAGGATGCATGTTTCCCGTGCAGCCACTGCCCCCGTCCGCCAGGGCTGGGGACGCAGGGACACTTACACTGAGGGGTATGTGCCGTCTCGTGTCCTCTGGATCAAAGGCCTCCACCTGGTAAATGAATCCCGGGTTCGCTCTTTCTGCTACGAAGAGGTCTAAACCTGTACCTTGCACAAAATAGAAGAAGAAGCACTTTATTAGATGAAGTAAACTTAGAACCCCAACATCAGGGCCACCGTGCAGCCCAAAGAGGCCACAGTCAAGGCCCCCAGGAGCATCACTAGCCAGTGTGTGTGAATGGATCCACCTATGGAGATTAATAACACACTACAAGTCAAGCCTTCATTTACTCCCTCCGTAAAGAGGTGACTCCATTCTGATGTTAGAGGAAAGGAGAGAGGCGACAAAGCCAACCATGCTGGCACACACCTGTAATGTAATTCCATACCCAAGGAGGCTGGGGCAGGAGGATCACAGGTTTCCCAAACTCAGCCTAGGATATTAATGACTTGGCATGACTTTGTGTCAAAATACAAAAATAAATAAGGGGCAGGGATGTAGCTCAGCATGAAGGCCCTGGTTTCAATTCCTAGTATTGACAGAGAGACAGACAGACAGATCAGGAGAGGGAGGTCAAGAATTGTACTGCAATTTTAAATAGAACAGTGTGCTATGGAAGCTCACTAGGTGACCACGTGGGAGTCAGGATTCCTAAAGAAATGGGGGACAGCCTTGGGGACACAGAGGAGAGGGACAGAGGGGTGACAGGGGAGAGCAGAGGAAGCAGCAAAGGCAGCGATACTGTGGGTGATGCTCCAGGCGCTCAGCAGTCACCAGGCCCAGGTAGCAGGTCGGCTGGGGATGCGGATGGGCCAGGGCCTTGAGCCGGGCTCTCCTGGCTTGGAAATTGATGGAAATTTCTCCCAGGGTGTTAAGGAGTGAGACTCCCGAGCTAAGGACTCCTCTCCCAGGACCTGCCTGGCTGCCTGCTGCAGCAGAGCCCATAGGAGGAAAGGAACGAAGCCAGGGGCCACAGCATCGCCCAGAGGACCAGCTGTGCGGGGACTTGCATGCTGGTGCTTGGGGCTAGGGAGGGACAGATTCTGTGGGAGTCTGGAAGCTGCCATCACGCCTGGTAGATGTGAGGTTGAGTGGGAAAGAGGGAGGGGTCAGAGCTGACCAAGCGCTGGCCCAGGCAGCGGAAGGATGAGACACACCCAGGGAGGAGGCCTCAGGAGCGGGAAGCCCACTGGCACCCAGGCAGACAGGACCTCTGAGTGGAGAGCTCGGGGAAAGCGGGACTGGAACAACTGTCTGGAGGTTGGCAGCACACAGGTGGTGGGCAAAGCCAGGAGGGAGGGGACATCACGCAGAGGGTCCCCTTGGTGCCAGAGGCGGCTCCCTACAATGTCCACCAGAGTGTCAGTCGATGGCTGATGACACAGTGAACTGCACAGGATGGCTCAGCCAAAGTTCCTCCAGAATGACCCATGGAAGCCCAAGCCTCAGTTTCCCTGCCAGCCCTAGCAGGGGGCAGAGAGAAGCTGAGGGTGTGGTGGCTGTGTAAACCACTGGACATCATCAGTCGTACTGGGCTGGAGGACGTTTCATTTATTCCTGCTTACCCTGTTTCCCAAGGAAACAGCTGTGCGTGTGTTTGCCTTTCCCCTGGCCCTCTCTCCCCCGGGGTCCTCCCCATATCACCGTCTGTGCAGCCTTGCGCAGCCCAGCACATCTTACCCTTTGCCAAGTTGCCTTGAAACTCGGGTGGCTCATTCACATCTGTCACCTGGACAGTCAGGATCTGCAGGTCTGTGACCCCAACCTCATCTTTAACATAAATCTGCAAATCAAATGTGTTTGGTCCCGTTTCAAAATCCAGTTGTTGCTTCCCAAAGGTGACAACCTAAAATGAAATGCAGAATTCTGAGTAGAGGGACAGTGTCTTGCAGGCTCGCGTGATGCAAAAGGGATTCATTCAAGGAAGGAGCAGCCGGTTCAGAGACCACTGTCCACTGGCTGAGGAGGACCCCGTTGTTTGCCTTAGCACTTAGGGGCTGTGACACTTCCTGGAAGGGACCCCGTGTGTGGGGCTGCTATCCATGGGGAAGAAGAATATCCAGAAGTGGATATCCTGTGTGACTGACTCTCGATGGAAGCCAAGGACGAACATCCTGCCGTGGGACCCTAGACAATCCCTCAGCCCCCACAGATACAGCTGCGATTCCCTGCGTGACCGGACACACACTTCCCTGGATTGCTGCTGAGTGACAGCGGGTCTCATCCCTCTGGCTCTGCAGAGTCACACCCAGGAATAAGTGGGAGACAGGACACCTCTGCCCGAAGAAGTATTTAACAACAGAGAGCTCACTTTCTGAGTGCCTTCCACACATTCTTCCACTGTCGGGAACTTGGGTCCCCTGCTTTCTGTGTTTTGGGGAAGTGGGGAGAACAGCAAAGAGCCCTGGCTGATGAGACGGCCCAGAACCAAGGCTGTGGCCGGAAGGATCCAAGGGCTCCTGGGTGACAGGATCCCCAGAGGCTGACAGGAGCCAGCCCTGACTTCCCACCTCTCGGCCCACATCCAGCCACCAGCCCAGCCCCTGGCACTCCGTGATGGCCTAGGGCCCTGGAGGACATTGCTGTGGCTTGAAAATCTCAACACAGCACGGGGTAGGGACTGCAGGGTGGGTGGTTCCCACTCTCCCCTGAGAACAGCCTCCTGGGGCTCTGCTCCTGCCTCCTTGGTGTGTCGTGTTCTCTCTCCTCACCAGACCGATGCTGACGTCCTGAGGTGGGATTTCCCAGCCTCCACCAGGATGACAAATGAAATCTGTTCTCTATAAATCACCCAGTGTGAAGTATTCTGTGGTAGTAATGGACACCTAGTTAAGGCTGAATCAAGGGGTCAATTTCTGGTATGGCCTCCATGCCCCCGATAGAGCTCTCGGTCACCGATCTGCCTGGAGGGGTGACAAGTCCCTCAGGGAGCAAGTCTTGGCTCCAGCCCTGCTTCCACCACAGGACTTTTGTGTGGCCTTGAGGAAGTTCATACCCCTGCCTGACTGTTTCCACCCGATTCTTGTTAGAGAAACAAGACTCTTTACAGCTAAACCTTTGACATTAAAGATGGGAGATGGGGAGGAGAAGGCTTTCCTGTGAGCTGTGCATGGTCAGAGAAGGCTGCGTGGAGAAGGTGGCGGGTACTGCGTTTTCCTCTGCAAACCTAGATTGGTAGAGAGAAGGGAAAGCAGGCACGGTTGTGAGGAGAGGGTGCAGCAGGGGGAGAAGGAGGAAAGGAGGCCTGAGAGAGAAGAGGTGGCCCGTCTAGGGCCCACAGGGAGCTCAGATGTCTCTCAGCCCAGCAGCTGCTCACTCAGAGGACGAAGAGGAGGAGGATGAGCAGAAGGAGGAGGAGGAGGAGGGAGGAGGCGTGACATAGGAATCCTTTAGGGAAAGGCAGATCCTTTCCCTAAATGTTATCTATGGCCAGCCCCTTCTCCTTGGGAAACAGCTGTAACCCTGGAAGGGGAGGTGAATAGTCCATCCTGTCCCAAAAGACCTAAGGATGTTAGTATCTCTTGGAACCAAAAGAATCATGGTGCTAGCAACACACGGGGGAAAACTGACTTTGCTGTCAGCAGCATTTATCAAATGTTTTCGTGCCAGCCTCTTGCCAAGGCATTTTGTGGAGAATTTCATTTAATTATCACAACAACCACAGGCTGGTAAAACTCCTCCCACTCATTTTGCATGTGAGGAGACTGGGCAGAGAAGGGGAGGGACGTGTGGGTCACAGCTGGGCCTGGGGAGCCTCAATGCGGGCCCAGACAGTGAGCTTCGGTTTGGGGCTGTTAAGCTTGGAGTCATCCTGGGCAAGGCTGAGCAGAATTTTAGCTCGATAGTGCTCAGGATAATAACAGGAAGAAGAGGGGGTCAGGCTCCAGGGTGGGGAGAGGGAAGGACAAGAGCTGGTCTTCACAGGACCTTGGAGAGCTCCAGCTCTCACAGCTGCCAGGCTCGACCCTTGTCTCCCTCCCTGGCTTCTCTGAGCTGTACTCCCTGGTGGCGCTGTTTCAGCATTGGCCACCTGCAGCCAAATGACCAGCTCTGGCCAGCACAGCTTGGAGGCTATGAACAAGGACCCTCAGCTTGCCTGACTGCAAATCTCAGCTCTGACACCTGTGCCTGTGGACTTGAATACATTCTCAGCCTCTCTACACCCGATTTCCCTGCTTTTACCACGCAAATAAAACAGCAAGCAACTCTATAGCATTGTTGTGCAGATTAAATGAATGAAGTCGCAAACGGTCTATGGGAATTCCTGGCATATGGTGAATGCTCCATAAGCTGAGTTGCTCCTCCTCGCCTCCCCCACCCCAGCAGTCTCAGCAGTGTGTCCCCAAGCAGGGAGGCCTGGCTCTGGCATGATTCAGAGCTTCCCAAGTCTGATGGTTTGAGGATCAAGACCAAGGAGGAGCCAGGTTCCACTCCAAGACGGTGTTGCCATGTTCCCAGGGCAGCAGGCAGGGCCCTTTTGGGCAGTGTGGGTGAGCAAGATTTCTCGGAAGGGACAGATGATGATGTGGGAAGAAGCCACCAACTCTCAAGAATAGTATGAGGACTTGTGAGCCTGTGGCTAGCCTCGTATCAATGCCCAGCCTGGGTAGCCACAGGCCATGGTGCCAGAGGGCACAAGACTGGGGAAATACACACAAACAGTTCAGTGTAGTTTAGTTGAAGGGCTAAGAAATTTGCCGTTTCAAGAGGTTAGGGACAGGGTTAGGATTAGAGTTAGGGTTAGGACTGAGGTTAGGGTTGGGACTGGGGTTAGAGGTCAGCATTAGGGTTGCCCTGTTAGGAAAATTTCTAACTTTTACCTTCCACTGTGCTTTTGACTTTGGGAAGAGGCAAAAGTCACACAGTGCCATTTGCAGCCCTGCCTTTCTGTTGCACGGCACTCAGCAGTGACAGTGCATTTTTCATCGTATCTCATAAAGACACTCACGAAGAATTCCTCCAGATCTGCTTCCAAAGGTAGCAAGAACAGTGGGAAAAGTGCATTTGTAGTGATGTGAGGGGTAGGTATTTTGAGAGCAATTAATGGCAATAAATTATAAAAATTTAATATTCACCAAACATTTGGATTATAACTGTAACGGACAAGTCATGTGACAGATTTGGGAATTCACCAAAACATCAACCCATGTGCGTGGAAAGGTAAGAGAAAAAGCCCAGGACTGGAAAGCAGAAGACCTGGTTAAATTTCTACTTCATCACTGACGGCTAAGTGATCTTGGACAAATCATGCAACCTTGTTATCTTTGGGTTTTCTTATACCTAAGAATTAAATCTTTTGGGGGCTGGGGATTTAGCTCAGCGGCATAAGCGCCTGCCTTGCAAGAAGGCAGCAGTGAGTTTGATCCGTGGTACCAAAAAAGATCAAAAAAAAAAAAAAAGAATTAAATCTTTTGAATGCTGGTAATATGTGCATGCACTGTAACAATCAAGAGGTCAGGAGTGTGAATGTGCTTTGCATCTTCCATGCAACTGTAAACGAGAAAAATCATCACCAGGAAGGCAGCAGACCAAGAGGCCAAGAATGAGAACTTTCAAGTGAAAACACTCTCATAGCTCAGCTCATTGACCCCCTAGCTGTTCAACCTAGGACAAATCACTTAAACTCTATGCTTCCTTGTCCTGATCTGCAAAAAGGGGGACTATACCAGATCCAATCATTAGCCTGTCTTGGGCTGCAAGAGCAAACACACCCAAGGCACTTTCCACAGTGTCTGGCATATACACGATGTCACTCTGTAAGTGCTAGCAGCTGGCAAAGCCAATAGAGACAGGCGGCAGCAGCTGCTGGGACAAGGCAGATGTCACAGGAATTGGTAGACAGGGCAGTTGAGTCACATGAGCAGCATCTGGGCCCTGGGAATGTAACTGGATGCGGAAGTGAGGACCAAGGGACTGTGTGTCCTTGCATCTTGCAGGGTCCAGCCTGGGAGCGATCAGAGCCCAGACAGGGAGGCACCGGCCTCCAGTCATAAGTTCTGCAGGGAGCTGCATCTGCACACTTCTGAGGTTGCTCAAGTGACTCCAGCCAGGAACAGGGCTTAAGAACCTTTAACATGTACCCCAGGGAAGCAGCAGGGTCCCCAGAAACTAATGGCCAGGCTAAAGATAATTGCAAGAGCTTACTAAGCCAGCTGAGGCAGAGGAAAGGAAGGGGTTGGGACTTCAAAGAATAGGCAAATCCAGACACCTGGAAGCTAAAGACATCCTTGGAAGACCACTGAGGTTCCCTGTGAAAAACATGCAACAAATAGGCTGGTTCCCCCGGCAGGGAAGTGACAGCTGTGGGAACGACAGAGACACCGAGGACAAAGCAGAGAGCGTGGGTCTGGAATGAGAGTCAGTGGGTCTGAATTATCCAAGAGGAAACATTCACACAGCAGAGATGGACACTTAGAGTTACAGCTTATTAAAGGGTGTAATCTTACATGGTAAATAAGTCTACATTTAGAATTTCCTTCTAAAAACAATTACGGACTTGCAGAAAGGCAGAATCAGTAGACACAAGTTCATCAGGGCCTGGCTTTTAAGGAGATCAATACCCACACTCTCCCATCCAAAGGATCTGATTAACATAAGCACACTTACACTTGATATCAGGTCTTAGCAATAAGAAACATGCCTTCCATCAGTAACAAATTGACATGATGTGCACAAGGATTTTATTAAGTGGAGAAAGGCCTGAATTTCAGACTCTGAAGTCATATGGTTTATCTTAATGAAAAACCCCAAATGTAAATAAAGAGCAAAATAAAAAATAGACAACAGGATGTAGGGCGTTATGCTTTGTATCTAAAGGCCCCCAGTCCTGTGATCTCACAGGTGGGACCATGAGGAGGTGGTTGGATCATAGGGGCTGATATTCAGCAGTGGATCCATCCACCGTGATTTTATAGTTAACTGTGATGTTGGGAGGTGCAGCCTGTGGCAGGAGGTGGGTCACCTGGGCATGGCCTGGAAGGGTCTATCTCCCGCCTCCTCCCGGGATCCCTCCGTACTCCCTGCCTCCACACCATGAGCCATTTCTCTTCTGTGATGCCCCTCTGCCATGCCACCTGCCTTGGAGCCAGTGGTCTATGAACAGAAATCTTTAATAAACCTCTCCTCCTTCAATTTACACGTGTCAGCCTCAGCAATGAAGAAAGTAACTAAGACATATAGTGAGATCTTTTTAAGGTGAGGAGGGGAACAAGAGATGGGAGGATGGGGGGGTGGGAGGGCTAGGGGACAAAGAAAGAAATAATATGTGTTATGTTCATGTACCAGCTCTGCGTGATAAATGTAATCTTTATGTATTACAAACACATACTAATAAAACCTAAAAAATAGAATCTACAGGAAGATGTAGCACAGGGGGTCTCTGGCTGGGATACCCCAAACAGGACTTCTGGATCACATGAGAGGGGAGCTTGAACAGGGGGAAGAGGAGCAAAGGATCAAAGGCTATAGGGCACCCCTTTGCAGACATCTCCCATGAGGCGCTGCTTACCTCAAAGTTAGTGCCTGTCAGCTTGTTCACCTTGAAGACTTCAATGAGGGGACTTGAGTTGATTATCAAGGGAAATCCTGGGACCACAGGTGCCAGTGACACTGATAAATTCACAGAAAACTTATGCACCAAAGTCCCAGGGGGAGAATTTTCTGCCACGTTGCTGGTGGCAGGTAAGTGGACGAGGTGTAGTGCTTCGCCTCCTGCGGATTTAAAAAGGATGCAAAATGACATGAACACAAGACTCAACAGCTCGCTCTGTGCTTTCGGTCCTTAGCAACGAGCAGACCTGCTCGCTTGCTCCATAAGAACAAATGCTCTTGCCAAGTGCTGGATACGGATGCATGAGATCTTCTGGGAGCCAGGGAAACAGCCCCACCATACAACCATGAAATCTGTTCCTGCACTGAGCAAACAAAGCTGCCGCTTTTCTCCTGTCTCCTTGCCTCCCTGTTGCTTCCTCCCGGCCTTTGTGAAGAGCCAGGAAAGAGAAGCGCAAAGCCTTGAAAGATAGACAAATGCCCCTTTTGAGGCTCTGATGTGGTAACAACATCCTCTCTCCTGCCACAGCCCGGTCATTTCTAAGAGTGCATTTCCTGCCCTACAGCAGTGTTGATTCATGAGGTCAGCGGAGACTTGAGAGTGCATGAGTGGAAAACTCCAGAGTCACTGGGGCTCTTCCTGCATCTGTTAGCAATACCAAGGAGGGTTATTTGTTATGGTAGGAGGCCGTGTTGTTGGGTAATGTGGAGAAACAGGGCCAATCAGTACTCCTCGGGTGTTTGGCTAACTCCTGCTTCAGAAAGGAGAAAACGAGAGAAAGGGTGAGTTCCCTTAGGCTGCATTACACACAGAATTTTACAATTTTACAAGAGGAAGCGTGCTTTTTCCAGCAAAGCCTTGGGACCATTCTGAGGTTCCCCTGATGCTCTGTAAGACTTGGCCAGCACAGAGGACAGCAACAGCGGAAGGCCGCCATATTTCCAGGTCCCCCTAGAACCTCGGAATGCAACCTGTTTGGAAACAGTCTTCGCAGAGGTTAGTGGAGATGGGTTAGCAGAGACTGGTGACCCTAGGAGAAGGCAGAACACAGAGACCTGTGCAGCCGGAAGGCCAGGACAGAGTAGAACCAAAGACTGGAACCATGGCTGCAAGCCAAGCAAGAATGGCATCCATAGCGACTTTTCCCAAGGCAAAGTCATGTGCCAAGGTCATGGAACTGACTCCAAAAACTTTAAGGCAGATTTCTGGATATGACCAGAAGGGTAATCACTCCAGTTCCTCTGGTTTCCTTGCTATTCAAAAAGTAGAACTAGTCATAGCAATAGCAGTAATAAAAAGTGACCAGATTCTACATACTAAAAATAGAGCAACTACCATAATACAATTCACAGAACGTCCAATGCATTTGCTACACAGGTCTGCTCGACGTGCCCCAGGCATCCATCTGGGCAGTGGCCAAGGGACAGTTAGGGCCAGGACCAGCTCTCCCCAAGACTGTGTGCCTTCCTCTTCAGTTTGGCTTTCCAGAGGCTTCCCTTGGTGGTCCCAGTGCCAAGGAGCAAGAAATAGGCTTTAATGAAATTTGACTTACAAGTGCATCTTAATTAAGAGTCAAATTAGAATTGCCCAAAGCTTATACTTTGAAAAAGAAAAAGCAGTCGAAAAGTTTATCACTGTACTCGTGTAATATCTTGCGTGCGGTTGAGGTCTAGATGCACAACGCACTCACTTTCCCCCCTGAATCCCCGCCTTCCCAGAAATGAGCTTCGGTGCCTCCTCCCGGGAGCCTGCATGGAGATCATGAAGCTTCCTCAGCTTCCATTAGAGGACGATGCTGACCGCTTTAGGCTGTGACCCAAAGAGTGGCATTGTGGGTCCAGGATGTGCGGTGACATCATCTTCCCCTGGGGATGCAGCTGCTCTAACTTAGAGCCCTGCTGTCAGCACGCAGAGCGATGCTGGTCCAAAATGCCTCTCAATCAATGCTCCTTCATTCTCTCTAGTAACCTGCAAACTGCAGGGAAAGACAGGAGAGTGCCAGGGAAAGATCGAGAGGTTCAGCACCAGAGCCCCGCGTCCACGGCAGCTTTGCCGCTCCTTGGCTTTGTGCCTGTGGCTGGAACCTGGACCTTTCCTGGGCTCCCTGGTCAGGTGTCCCTCAGAACAGGGCCACACTGAGAGGGGCTGTTCAACAGGGTTCTACTGCTAACAAAAATTCACAGGATCCAAATGGTGACCCACCTGCAGATCTACAGTTTAATTACAGAAAAATGATCCAGCACAGTTAAATCATAGCAATTACCATGGAGCCACGGAGCCCCCAAATGGAGTCTGCTGGATTCTTCTTCTGTTTTGCTACATAAATGAGACTCAACAGCAAAGCCCTCAGAAGTCCTCACTGAGATCAGAGCAAATCATCAGTCTCACTGTCACCAATGATAATAATGCTTTCAAGCTGGTACAGACCCCCAGAAGGTCCTAAGGACCGTGGCTACAGTGTAATGTTACTAATCATCATGCTGCATGCTTTGACCATGGATCAGTGTGGTGCAGGAACTGTAGCAAAATAACTCAGGCTAGTCCCAGGTCTGATAGAACCAAAGCATGGGTAGCACAGATATAGTTGACAAATTAAGAAGCACTGCAGAATGTCCATTTCCATATATGCAATTTTTCTACTTCTTTAATTTCCACAATGTATATCTTCCTGAATGGATGCTCTCCACCTGCTTTTGGAAGAGCCGGTCTGTGCCAGGCAAAGGGCAAGACATAGAAGAAAAAAAGGGAGCCTAGTGATGGTTCTGTGTGTTACACTCTATTAGAATTTTAGAATTAGCAAAAGAAAGCTGGGTTTGTCTAGTGGAGTTACTCTAGTGCTGGCCGCAGAAGGACTGGTTTCTTGCAAATCTTTTCCAGTTCAACCGAAGCCAACAGCAGATTCCAGGGACTCAAGTGAGTGCTAGAGTTGGGAACAAGAGGATATGGATGACAAGCAGGTTACTGTGGGCAGGAAGTGAGGGGAGCTGACTATTGCCCTTCTGATCTCAACCCTGACTGAACAGGAAAGTGTATGACAGAAAGACTGTGCTATGATTTAAATATGAAGTGTCTCATCAAAGACTCGTGTGTAGAGGACTGGATCCCCAAGGTAGCAATGCTCAGATCTAGGACCTGGGTAGGTGACTGGGCCACATGGACACTTGCCTCATCAATTAACCCGTGGGTAAATTGGCAGCTGCACGGGCTGTTAGGCAGTGGAGTCCCTTTGGAGGCGGTAGGTCACTGGGGGCATGACCTAGAAGGGAACCATTTTTCTATGGCTCTTCCCCCTCCCTCTGCTTTCTGGCTGCCAGGCTCTTCTGCCATAACGTGTCAGTCCTGGGGACAGCCAACAAAGGACTGAGGCTTCTGAAACCATGCATCAAAATAAACCTGGAAATGGACAGCATAAATCTCACTTTTTCCACCGTGAGACCACCAAAAAGGAGTTGCATACAAGTGGCGTAAGACATTGAATCCAGGGCCTTCTCTGACCTCACGACATTACCCAGCAGAGCCCTCAGCCTGCTAGAGGGAACAGGCTCAGGTGACTTCCTGGAGGGACCTGGGATTGCCTTTCAGCTGGTGTCTGAAGACAAAGCTAAGGTGGATGGGTGTGGTTCCTCTCTGCTTTCATGTAAATCTCCCAGCTACCAGGAAACTCCTTAAGGTTTAGAACTATGATGTTCCCTAAAGTCTCACAGCAGCAACTTTTGTTTCCCTCATCTTAATGGCAGATGAAAGGGACAGAAATTAATTTAAATATCAGTATGAAGCCGGCAGAAGATTTAAAGCTGTGCATTTAGTGAGGGTGTAATCAGTAGATACCGAAGGGACTAACATGCATGCCAGACTCAGCAAAAACAACAAATGTTTACGGATGCCCTCTACGTTTGTGGCACTCGGCCCACAGAGCAACAGGAGATAAAAAGCCCGATGCCACAGCATTGACTTCCTAGCTGAAAAGAATGGTAGACATCTAAGAGATTTACGGAATAAAAACCCACGCTACTCTGCTGAGCAAGCCATTTCTCCGAGGCAGACAGTGAGGTACAAGTAGGCAAACAGGATACCTAGGGAGGAAACAGGAACCTGTCTCCCTCTGAAGTTATTTGAAGCAGCCCATTTTCCTTACAAAAGAATAATGACCTTGGAGGAAGGAAATTATCTCCCTTGAAGGTCCATGTAATAATATAAATACAGCCTGAGCCTGATTGGGCAGAATAGCCATCTTGGCCCTTGCTGGCCATCGACACGAAAGTGTGTTCTCTGTTGTTCTGAAAATTTGTCCCTGCAGGAGCTCCACCTCTTCTCTGGATGATGACCCTCCTGTCTTCACTGACATCTTTCATCAAAGACACCAGGAGCCAAGGAGTGTGGCCAGTTCCTTATGCTTTTAGGACCCAGTTTCCCAGTGATACCAGTATAGGCAAAGAAAGCTCCTACGAGCAGAAGGCGGGTCACCAAGAGACAGCCAGGAGGACTTCCCAGGAGGGGTTTGAGGGGGGCCTTGAAGGACACAGACCCTGCTGAAAAGAAGGCTGAGTGTGCAGCCGTGTTTGGGACAGTTAACAGTGACGCTCACTTCCAATGGACTGCCCAGTGCCCTTGGTGACCCTGGGTGCAGAGGGGCCCAGTCAGGTTCTCAGGCCCACAGAGGATGAAAAGAAACTGTTCATGTCACAGTTGCACTCCTAAAACCTAGAATTTGATCCGTAGAAGTAAAAGCATGACCAAGCATGCAGTCTTTTGGGGAGGAGGGATTCTAAGGTTCTTATTTAGAAGAAACCTCAACTGTTTCTTGCAAACATTTGTCATTTGGTAATAAAGTTCCAGGTGTCAGTGCTCAAAAAGTTTGAGACACTGATTCTTCCTCCCTTCTACTTCCCCCCTGTGACAATGGATGTCACCTCAAATCATTATGGTCTTTAAAGCCTATATATATAAATATATGTGTGTGTGTGTATTTTTTTTTTTTTGAACCAGGGATCGAACTCATGACTTTGTACTTTCCAGGCAGGCACTTGTGACACTAGCTAAATCCCCAGCCCTAAAGCCTATATTTCTAGGGCAAGTGCAAATGTAAGAGTCTGGGTGGAGTAAGGCTGCGTCCCATTCCCAGTTCTTCCTGCCCCAACAGCGTCTAAAGGCCCAAAATGAAGAAGGGCTTGATTTAGGGAAGCCAGTTGTTGACTTTTCTTCTTAGCAGATCAAAGAGGAAAAGCAAATTGTCATTCCCATAGATCGTGAAAAGCATTTGATTTAAAAATCCATTTTGATTTAGAAATACTCCAAACAAAATAAGAATAAAACTTTCCCCTTAACTTATAAAACATTTCCATGTCATCCCAAAATCTAGCATCGTGCTTACTGGGGAACCCGACAGGAATGTGCATTCATCGTTATTTAGCAGTGGTCTGGAGACACAGGCCTGGTATTTAGATAAGAGAAGAAAAGAGGAAATATAAAAACAGGGAAGGAAGAATATAAATATTCATTCTTTTAAATCTGGGAAAAGCATGAAAATCAACAGGATGAACAATATAAATAGCAAAATAATTCATTAACAGACTTCCATATATCATACAAAAGTACGTTAAAAGATGTAAGAGGAAAAGGTTTTGTTTACATACATAAAGAAAGAAAAGAAAGATCTAGAAATCACTATGATCAGAATATCCAACATCCATACGAAGGAAACCTTAAAATACTCCCGAGGAAAATACATGAAGACTTGAATAAGTACTGTATCTAGCATGCAGTTCTTTAAGTACAAAGATTTAACATTATAAATAATAACCACTAACATTTACTATGGTTCAGATATTCCTCTAAGTATTTTACTATACAACCCATCAAAGATGTAAATTATCCTAAATTAATCTGCAACTTAACATGATTGAATTCCATACATTATGCATATACTCTCTATTCAAAAATAAAATTGAATTTAAAAGACTCAGTTTCAATAAGCCAAGCTGACAGCATTTAAAGGATGACGCAAAATTCTTCAAGCTCCTGAACAAGAAAGATGGAGAGAATGAAGCCCAGGTTTGCTTCATTGGCCCTAGTATTAGAAGACATGTTCTTTGCTCCTTTCGAAGACAATCCCCAGCCAACCTCAAGTCGTCCCCACAAGTTCCCAGAGAAAAACCAGCATCCATACACAGACACACAGACACACAGACACACAGACACACACACACACACACACACACACACACACACAGCATTCATTCCCTCAACCTCCAGCCTCAGGACTTCCAACACAGGCCAGTAACAGAAGAGGGAGGGTGACATAGGTCAAACACAGGCTCTATGGTGGCGCTGGGCATCTCTCCTGTCCAGGACACCCTGCCCCAGCACCCAGGTTCTCGGGAGATGCCCTTTCTCATCCATCCTCGCAGGTGAGCCCGCCACGGACAACGCCTCCCAGAGACGGCCTTCTCTTTGAGAACTTATCACACAAAGGAAACTTGGGAAGGACTTAGGCCAGGTCAGGCTGCAAAGCCGAGAGGAACCCTACCTGACGAGGCCTCCAGGAGCAGCAGCAGGATGACTGCTTCCTGCATGCTGGTTCCTGGAGCCTGCATGGGCTTCAGCGCCTTTCCCCAGGACCTGAATCCAGCTCAGAACCAGGGTTTATTCTGCACCCTGCCGGCTTCCCCTCCAGGCTTTGTTGCCACACAAGAAAGAAACAGAAGCTTTGCTGGTAGCTACGGGAGACTCCAAACAGCACCAGACTGTTTGTTCTTTAGTCACCTGCTTCTGCAACCACATGACACCCAAAGGCCAGCCTAGTGTCCGTCCTAGACACACGTCACCCACTGTGTGTCTCCACCCAGGCGAGAAGCACAAGACAGAAGATCTGAAGTGCTGAGAAGATTGTGGAAAGCTAACCAGACCCATGCAATGTCCCTTGTGGTCACGGTTGCCCTATGACCAGAAAAGAGCCGGAGCGGGAGCTTTCTGTTGTTCTGAATTGATTAATGTCAGACTTGGAAGCTAACGGGTGCTCCTCCCAAGACAGGAGCTGGGACCGGAGCAGGGACAGACACCGGGATGGTGGTGGTGTATGCTGCCCATCTGTCACCAGGGCCCCTCCAGGCCCCCAGCTGTTTGTATGTAGATGAAGTCTGTTGGAGTGGTGAGGTTTCTACCCACTGGGGAAAGGCGTGGCCTCTCTCATAGGGGATGGTGTGGTCCTTTATGATGCCTTTATGTCCATGAAGCCCTGGGCATGAGCCAACACAGGCTGGACCTCTCAGACCCTCAGACCAGGGGCAATGGCGGGGCCAAGGGAGATGGCAAGAAAGTTGTCTGTCCCCCTCCCAGGGGGCAGTGGTGGGCACAGTAGAGGAAACATCTTTTCCCTTCCTCATGTCGGGGAGACAGGAACAGGGTACCCAGCGGCTCAAGTCTGGTGGCGGGAGTGGATTGTGGGGCTGTGGACCCTGTCCCTCCCATGAGGGAGCTGAGCAGGGGGAAGACGCCACAGGGACTCCTGCCCCAAAGTGACTGGTGCCTGGCACCTGCCCGTCAGTGAATGATGAGGAGCCACACAAGTGACAGAGAGACACAGCAACAGAGCTGCCCCTGTCTTTTTTTCTCTCATCCTTCCAACCCAGAGTAAAGACAAAGGAGGCAGAGAGGAGCCGGGCCACACCCCTTGCCACACCCTCAGAGTTGCCCCTTCCCTGGTGCCAGCCTGGAGCCTGAGGAGAGGCAGGAGAGGTGGTGTGAGTGGGGCAGGAGACGGACGCTTCTAACAGTGCTGGACTAGGCACCATGAAGGTGACCTGAAAGCAAGACATTTGAGAGATCACAGTAAAGAGAGAGGAAGGAAAGCTATCTCAGCTTCCATGCACTGGCCCTCCTAGGCCCAGAGAATGGGTGAGGTGGCATGGGTGGAGCCTCTGGTCAGAGCTGCCTGATCCGAAGAAGGGCATCCAATGCACCCTCATGCCCTGCAGCTGTTCCAAAGTCCAAGCACTGGGCCCCTTCCAGCCCCCAAGGCGCCTGCTACGGCTCCCTTCCCTGGCTTTGCCACCACCACTACCCAGTTCGAGGTCCTTGCCCCTGACCTGGACTCTCCACAGCCTCTAGAGCATCCTACACACCCACTAGGCAGCTTCCCAAATACAATCTTGATCATCTGCTTTCCTGCTTAAAATACCAGACAGCCTTTCCCTTAGGGATGTGGATTTCCTCTGAGTAAGGCAGGCGGGTCAGTGGGATTTGGAAGGAGGTCTACAGGCTTCTGTCTGCCTCCGGTAGAAGGTAAATCACATGGTTTTGCTGTGTGCCCTTAGGCAAATGACCCACCCCACCCCCTCTATAAATCAGGGAAAATAAGGCCTTTGAGCAGCATGGAGATAATGAGGTAGCAGGGACCCGCACACTGCATGTTCCCCATCAGCACCGTGGTTCCCAGCGGGCACCCCCAGGATCGTGCAAGGGCTGAAACCCAGTAGGGAGTCACTGCGCACAGGCTGAATCAAGAAGAATACACCACAGTTGCCAAGTTACGGATTCTCACCCCTCGGTTTTTTCCTGTCATATTAGTTACTGTAAATAATCCATTTCATTATGCATAATTAAAGCTGAAGCGATGGCCCAGATTAAGTTATGGAAAACGTCAGAATAATTAAGCCTCTGAATTAAAGAAACTCACATCTGTTTAATTTTCAGCCTGAGTACACAAGTGCTTTTCCTGTTGCCCTGTTTGCACCAGGGTCTCGGGAATCTCCGCTTCCTTCCGTCCTGATTTTGAGGAGCAGGAGGGCATATTTGGAAACGTGCTACGGTTTCCCCCTGCAATTACAGCTTCTGTTTCCAGCCCTGAGATTGTTTCTGCTGCCTGCCATGGTCTGTTGGACATTCGTCAGCAGTCACTGCCTCCTGACATCCCGTGGTCCTGGCAAAGGGACCTGAGAATCACAGGGGCTGAGAGGGACCCAGAGGCTCCTCGATCCCATTCCCTGCCGAGCTGTTGTAGCTCCACTGGGTTCTCAGCCAGCTGGGATGGACAGTCAGCTCCTGGGCAGGGCCAGAACTTTTGAGCCAGCGCCTCTGCAGCTCCCATGAGGGACCTGGGGACACCTCTAAGCCTTGTTGGATCCAGGCCTTTGAGTTGTACTGAGTGACTTCCCTGGGGAACAGCTGGTTACAAATGTCTCCTACCCTAGCAAAGGAGCTGGGTTCCAAATGCTGGAGCCCCTCAGCTGCCCTGATGACCTCAGAAGTCAGCAGCAGCTCACCCTGGGCTGGCCTTGAGGAAGGAGTGGGGCTCCTCTGAAACCAAGGCCCTTGGCACCTGCTGGCAGTGTCTTGGCTTCAAAGGTGGGAGTAAGAACAATTTCCCTGGGGCTCAGCCCATCTGGCTCCATCTGGGATGTGATGCAGGATGGGCCTGGGATGCCTTGATTTTTGCCTCATGCCTCCAGAAAGCCCAAGTCATCCTTCTTTTGTAAGTAACAGCTTGACTGAGAAACAATTCACATGCCATACAAAGCACCTGTGACACGCATTCGACCTTCTGGTATGTAGGATATGCCAAGAGTTGTACAACTATTATCACATAAATCATTTTTAGAATATCTTTGTCACCCCCAAAAGAAACCCTTCATCCCTTAGCAGTCACCCTTCCATTTTCCTCCAGCCCCTTTCCCCCAACCTGGCCCCACTAATCCCTGTTCTGGACATTTAATATGAATGGTGTCACATAATAGGTGGTCTTTGCGACTGGCTTGTCATTGGCTGGCTGTCAAAGTCCATTTATATTGTAGCCTGAGCACTACTTCATCCTTTTCTTATTGCCACATAGTATTATCCCATTGTATAAATAAGCCACATTTAATTTGTGCTGGGTACCAGGACCATGAGTCTGCTGTGATCTACTTCTCCCACCAAAGAACTCTGTGTTTGAGCGTGCACGGAGGCCGTGAGAGTATGATCAGGTGGGGCAAACAATCAATGCCACTGCGAGTGGGGCTGCCAGAGGAGGTTTCCAAGTGCAGGTGCCAGCTGGAGCGATGCCCTGTAAAGGCCACTGGAGCTGGGGGCAGGGTAGAGGTCTGAAATGGCATGTGTTACCTGTGGTCCTCTGCCAGTTGACTTATTCCTGGGTAAGTTCAATTTTTAAGGCAAAAAATTTCAATTTAAGGCACACAACACAAAATTCTCAGTGTTCAAAAGAATCCTCTCCTGCTCTCACAGATCGGTTGATTCTTGTTGGCCTTGAGACTCTATGAGAGAAAGTCTATGCACCTGTGAACACAGGTCATCCACATGGTTAGTGCTTCAGTCCAAAGGGAAGCTTATTACACAATCTGAACTTTACACAAGGGTTTGTGTGTGTGTGTGTGTGTGTGTGTGTGTGTGTTGTTTTTTGTTTTGGTACGGGGGTTCGAACTCACAACCTTGCACTTACCAGGCAAACACTTAAACCACTGAGCTAAATGCCCAACCCTTTTTGTAGGGTTTTGTCCTAATATATCTCAGAAATCCTAACAGTGCATAGAATAGCTCATTCTTTGTAATAATGGAGCAACAGTGTTGTAGAATTGTGCTACACACTGTCCCCTATCTACACAGTCCCCTATTGACAGATGTTTGTTTTGTTTCTATTACAAATAATGCTGCAATAAATATCCCTGAGCATATGTAATGAGCACGTGAGAGTACATTGTAGATTAGATTCTTAAAAATGGTTGTTGAGTAGAAGAAAATGAGCATTTAACTTTTTGATAGATGCTGCTAAAATACTCCTCAAAAAGGTGATTCTCATTTGTTCTCCTACCGATGACATAGAACAGTGTGGGTGAGCTCCCCACACCTCAAACAATACAGTAATACCCAAGTTTTACCAATCTGTTAGGCAAAAAGAAAAGAAGAAGAAGAAAGAAGAAGAAAGAAGAAGAAGAAGAAGAAGAAGAAGAAGAAGAAGAAGAAGAAGAAGAAGAAGAAGAAGAAGAAGAAAAAGGAGAAGGAGAAGGAGAAGAAGGAGAAGGAGAAGGAGAAGGAGAAGGAGAAGGAGAAGAAGAAGGAAGAAGAAGAAAAAGAAGAAGGAAGAAGAAGAAAAAGAAGAAGAAGGAAGAAGAAGAAGGAAGAAGAAGAAGAAGAAGAAGAAGAAGAAGAAGAAGAAGAAGAAGAAAGAAAGAAAGAAAGAAAGAGAAAGAAAGAAAAGCTATCTCATTCAATTTGTGTTTGTCTTTTCAAGAGTGAAACTGAACATTGTTTTCCAATATTTAAAAAGTCCTGAGTTTGATCTTTCAGAAATACACTGAAACAAAACAAAAAAAGAATCCATGGTGGGCATGATGATGGCCAAGGCCCCCGGCGATTCTCTCCTCACGGAGACACTAGCTAAACGGCTACTGAAGCATCAAATGACTGTCACAACAGCTAAGACCGCAGAGCCTGCTGTTAGGACTCCAAAGCGACAAGACGTACTGAAGGAGGCAGGAGTGAAGAATAGCCTGTGTCACCTCTTCCCAAGCACCAGGGCGGAGAGAGCAACTCCACTTGGGAGAGGAGGAGAGAATGATGGGGCTGCCGGGGTTTAACCCACTTTTGGGCAGAGCCAGTACTTTGGACCACGCCGCTGGAACTGCGCTAGGCAGGTAGCTTAGAATGTCTGGAAAGATAGGCACAAGCAAAGCTGGCTCAGGGAGAATCA